CAGCAAAATTTATAGTAAAAAAATATATTTAGACTAGAAATAACATAAAAATAATAAGAATTGTGTACTTTAGTCGAAAAAATACTTTAGATGTTTAGAACATTACAGAGAACTATTTCTCCTACTAGTATTACATCCAATATGATTGTAGTTAAATTATATAGCCTCTTATTGTCTGTTATTGAGTTGCAGAATCTATATCATCCAATAACAATGATATCGTTCAAAATGCATCTAGCTTCGCTCGCATAATCAGCGCTTAAGATTACCAATACATACATATTTGATATCAAGGAAATCTTCAAGTCCATGCTTGGAGCCTTCCCTTCCTAAACCTGATTCTTTCACACCACCAAAAGCAGCTTCCGCGCATGAAATTATTCCTTCATTGACACCTACCATACCGACTTCTAATTTGCGAGCAACTCTAAATATTTGCGATATGTCTTGCGAGAAAAAGTATCCGGCTAAACCAACCGGTGTGTCATTAGCTTGCTTTAATACATCTTCCTCATTGCTAAATTTATTGATTACAGCTACAGGTCCAAAGATTTCTTTGTTATAAATTTCCATGTTCTTGGTTACATTGGTTATTAGAGTGGGTGCATAAAACAGTGGTCCGAGATCTGGTAGTGGGCTTCCGCCACAATGCACCTTGGCACCTTTCCGAACTGCATCTTCTACTAAACTGTTCACCAAATCTAATTGGCTTTTCTTGATAAGCGGCCCATGAGTGACATTCTCTTTACTACCATCTCCTAATTTAATATCCTTCTTGATTTTTGCTAAAAACTTCTCGACAAACTCGTCAAAAATATTTGTTTCTACGAAGAACCTGTTCGCCGAGACACATGTCTGACCAGTGTTGCGGAATTTACTGGCCATGGCACTATTTACAGCTACATCTATATCTGCGGATTTAAATACAATGTATGGTGCATTACCACCCAATTCAAGCCCAAGTCGTTTCATGGTTGAAGCGCATTGCTTATACAGAATCTTTCCTACAGCTGTAGAACCGGTGAATGATAATACTCTTATTTTAGGATTTTCACACAGCTCTTTGCCAACGGCAGCAGAATTTGTGATACTTGTGGTGAGTACGTTTAAGATTCCTGCAGGGAAACCTGCTTGTTCTGCAAGATCTGCTAGTGCCAATGCTGTCAATGGGGTGTCTTCGGATGGCTTTACAACACATGTGCATCCGGCAGCAAGAGCAGCGCCTGCTTTCCTGGTAATCATAGCGTGTGGAAAATTCCATGGTGTAATTAAAGCAGCTACCCCAGCTGGTTGTCTTAATAAAAACAATTCTCTATTAGGCGCAGGAGCTTGCAAAATTTCTCCATCTATTCTTCTAGCTTCTTCTGCAAACCATTCCACAAAAGAATTTCCATACTTAATCTCTGCTCTAGACTCAGCAAGAGATTTTCCATTTTCTTTAGTCAAAATACAAGCGAGATCCTCTGAATGCTTGACCATCAAATTGTACCAGTTTCTCAGCAAATCACTTCTCTCCTTGGCTGTGGTTTTACTGAACGATTCAAAAGCTTTGACAGCAGCATCAATGGCTACTTGAGTGTCAGCGACATTCATATCAGGAACATGTGCAATAACAGTATTGTCCACTGGATTGCAAACGGGAAATGTTAGTTTGCTACTAGAGCCTATCCAATTTCCATTAACATATGCGTTATCTCTTAAAAGATGCATTGATCTACAACTCAAAGACACACGATGTGATAAACATTTGTGTAATAATCTTGTTCTAACAAACATTTTCTTGTAAGCGATCAAATATGTCCTGTAAAGAAAGAGTTGTGATAAAATAAAAAAATAAAGTCAAACAGTAAATACTACAATTTTTAAATACAGTTGCAAATATATATACGTTGTATGTATGATGATTCCAATTCAACTGTATTCAAAATTATGTATTATATTTTTATACATAACATATAAAATATTTACGAGCAAATTTATCTTATTTTATGCATAAACTGACCTTTATTTTCAATATAATCCAATAATTATTTTAATAACACTTGACACTTTATGCTTGAATCTTCCACAAGTTATTAATCTGATGAGTTTTACACGTCACTAACGTATTTGACATCCAACCGGTCACTCGTAAGTGATGTTGCCAATTGATAGCGATTGACAGAACGAACTTATATAAGTGACGTGATTTTGCTGTTCACATTTACGTGCTCGGTTTATAAATCCTCATCGCGATAGTGGCGGTACCGGCGCGCCAACATCCATCAGTCAATATATATACTTGTTATCAGGCTTGGTTTGTTATATCAGAATCGTATTAAAAAACAAGGAAACGCTAAGCTTTTTGCGCATTATGAGCAGCAATACAAAGCGGACCATTTACGTAGGTATGTATGAATAAATAAAAAAAATCTTTAGCGCAATCTTTTTTAATTTAATCTTATCTTGTCTTAACCTTAAATGTACTCAGCTTGTATTTATGTGGAAGAAATAACTTCTAAAATGCAATAATTAATATCTTAAAAAAATATAGTATTGTGTAGCAATTATTTATATTATTTAATTTTGAAATGCTTTTCAGGTGGGCTAGCCGAAGAGGTTGATGAAAAGGTGTTACATGCAGCATTTATACCTTTTGGAGAAATTGTTGATGTCCAAATACCATTGGATTATGAATCTGAAAAGCATAGAGGATTTGCGTTCATTGAATTTGAAACAGCAGAAGATGCAGCTGCAGCTATAGATAATATGGTATATTTATAAAATAATATATAATGAGTTATTTGATAGCATAATGATTTAATATCCAATATTTCAAGATTTGGTGTTGTTACAAATAGTTAATTTCATAAATTGTTTTTTCATAAATATCAGTTCTTAAAGATCATAGATTTATTCTCTTTAAAAATCAAGACAAAAAGATGGATAAAATTTTTCTGATAGAAGTCTGATTTCTTATCTAATCAATAAAAAAATAAAAGCAACGTGACATCTTGTTTATGTTTGAATCGTGATAATTTATCAAAAATAATCCATGTTGATTAACAGAATGATTCTGAATTGTTTGGCCGTACAATAAGAGTAAATATTGCTAAGCCACAAAAGATAAAGGAAGGTTCATCAAAACCAGTATGGGCAGATGATGCCTGGTTACAAGAACATGCAGGAGAGACACTGAAGAATGATGATAGTACAAAAACAACTGAAGTTACATCAACGAAGAAAGCAAAGCAGACAAATCCTCAAGTTTACTTTGACATAAGCATAGGAAAGCAAGAAGTAGGTAGAATTATTATGATGTTAAGAGCAGACATTGTACCAAGGACTGCTGAGAATTTTCGGGCTCTTTGTACGCATGAGAAGGGATATGGATATCAGGGTAGCACCTTGCACAGGATTATTCCAGATTTTGTATCCTTAAAATATTGTTTTAGAATATACACCTTATAAATAATTACTCTTACTCTTAATCTTTAACTTTCATTTATGTAAAATCCTTAACACAAATGTGACAGATGTGCCAAGGGGGCGATTTTACAAATCACAATGGTACAGGTGGTAAATCAATCTATGGCAACAAATTCGAGGATGAAAATTTTGAACTGAAACACACGGGTCCAGGAACTCTATCAATGGCCAATTCTGGCCCAAATACGAATGGCTCCCAGTTTTTCATGTGCACAGCCCGAACAGATTGGTTGGATGGAAAACATGTTGTTTTTGGACACGTTCTCAGTGGATTAGATGTACTCAAAAAAGTTGAAAAATGTGGAACAAAAGCAGGCTCACCGACACAAAAAGTTGTCATAACTGCTTGTGGAGAATTAGTATAATTTTTATGTACATAAAAATTTTGTAATAAATGAGATTTTATATAATTTTTATATTTTATAATCACAAAATTTTATTAAATTTTTTGAATGCGTTGGATTGCTTAATTATATAAACAAAAGTAAATTTAATTCTAATATTATTATATTACTGCTGCTCACATGTTTATAAAGTATTTCATAGAAAAGTTTTTACAGTATAATGTCTTCAAACTTATTTGCAATTAAAAATTTACATGAATAAAAGTCAATGTTGATATTTATTATTTTATTACACAGTCAAAAAGATTACCATAAAAAAAGCTATATACACAAAAATGCATATTACATGCACATTAGCAATTTAAATTTATATTTCTTCAAGATTATCACTATTTGGCTTTTTAATGTTTGTTGAAATAATTTCAGGTGTAAATTATATGTAAATATTGCAAATTTTGTGCTTATTGGGCATTTGTAATATAATTGTATATCTATTAGTACAAAAATTTGAAATATTTAGAATAAATATTGGAATAACTGAAAAAAATGGTTTAAGTCTTGGCTAAAATGGTTTAAATCTTGGTTAGGTTAGTTTATCCAACTTCCACTCCTCTACTTATATTGCTTGCCGCTTGCGTCTCAAATCTAGTATCACTTCCATATCACTTCTTTAATGTAATGACACACAGACGATAGAAAGTACCGAGTCAAGGTCTACGTTCAAAGTCTACATGTAAAATTGTGTTAAGTCACTTTAAACATTTTTATATTTGATCCACGATGCTCCGAACTACAATTAATCAAGGTGTTCGAAAACTCAGTTCTAATACATCTTCATCGATAAAATGCAAACGATTAGAAGGAAAAGTTGCGATTGTGACAGCATCGACAGAAGGGTATAATTAAATATACATATAAATATTTTACATGATATATCAACATTCATCAAGTAATATTTTTCTTGTGTGTTAATGTCAAAATTAATTAGCTATACTACAAATTCTGAATGCTATTCTCAGATTATGTCTTATATGTCAACAGAATAGGATTTTCGATAGCGCAACGTTTAGCACAAGAAGGTGCTAAAGTAATGATCAGCAGTCGTAAAGAATCAAATGTGAAGAAGGCTGTGGAACAACTTAAATCCGAAGGCTTGCAAGTTACAGGTGTCGTTTGCCATGTATCAAAGAAGGAAGATAGGAAAAATCTATTTGAAAAAGTAAGTAAGATTTATGGGAGAACACTTTGAGAGAACTCGATTTTTCAACAATATTTTTCTAATTGTATCAATAACTATAGCATCTTAATATAATTAATATGAATGTATTGTACTGCTAAAAATAAGATAAAATTATAAAAATAATTACAGACTAAAGCAAATTTTGGAGGTTTGGATATTCTTGTGTCCAATGCTGCTGTGAACCCTGTATTTGGTCCAGTATTTGATAGCACAGAGGAAATATGGGATAAAATTTTTGATGTCAATGTTAAATCTACATTCTTGCTGTTGAAAGAGTCTCTGCCACTTCTTAAAAGCAGTAAATCTCCTTCTGTTATTATTCTGTCCTCAATTGCAGGATATCAACCTATGAATGTGAGTCTCTTTAAAGAAATTTTGGCTTTGTATGTATGATTTATCTCCTTTATCTGCTAGAAAAGCATTTCTTGTAATAGAATGTTATTTGTTTTATTTTATTAATATTATTATATTTTTTAGTTGGTGGGTTTATATTCTGTCAGCAAAACTGCTTTGTTGGGATTAACTAAAGTTACTGCAGAGGAACTTGCAGGCGATGGGATCCGTGTAAACTGCATTGCACCAGGGATAATAAAAACTAAATTCTCACGATCGGTACTTATAATTATTGTACAATTCTATTTTATTAAAGGAGGATAGCATCTTATATATAAATTATTATGTTTTCAGTTATATGAAACAGAAAGTATAAGTGAATATAATTTATCAACGATTAATATGAGAAGATTCGGACTGCCAAAGGAGATTGCAAGTGTAGCTGCATTTTTGGCAAGCGAGGATGCTTCTTATATTACTGGTGAAACCATAGTAGCAACTGGTGGAATGAAATCAAGACTTTAAAGTCTGTACAATATTCTGTACAATATTCATTTTTATATTTTTAATTGTATATACATGTATACTTGTATATATAGATATTTGTACTTGAGATATTTGTATTTGATTGTATATTGATATATAGGGAAAATGTTTTAACAAAATAAAAATTTTAAAAGTTACGTATTTATTAATAATATGATTTATTTTTTTTTTGCTCAAAGTATAATTGTACAACTTTTCCTTCCATTTTAAATGCAGGAGAAGTGCGAAATGTAAATATAAAAAATTTTATTTCATTTTTCTTTAGGATATATCCAGATAAGCTTGTATAGCGCATAAGCTTGGTCCATAAAAAGTTGCATAAGGGAATACAAATCCATTTCTTATGGATCAAAGTTGTGCGTTATGCAAGTTATGTAGATATACCCTTAGAGTGTTAACGTTCTATTGGCCGAAGTAATGTGTAACTTCCGCGATGCCGCTAATCCAATGATATTACGATATCAAAAGAAAGCATCGCGCAATTGGTACATTACTCCATCTGCCCCGAATATCACAGCAAGAGAAATCGTCGTCGAGACGTGTCTATCGCGAGCCCTAAACAACACTTCTTATCTTGAAGATATTACAAATGTAAACACGAAGTTTTCGACGTTAAATATGTATGTGCGCTACGTGGGGCTTATCGTTGCGGTGTATTTTTTCACGAATTATTGCTATCGCTGCATTCATTATCGGTCGTGAGTTATATCCCGAGATGACAAACCACTCGTTGTTGTTTACCGCGATCGAACGTCGCAGTGATGCGTGCAATGACGACAGCGGTCGCAACGCGACGCGATCGTGCGTCCGTCGTCTGACGTCGCGTTTGACGTGAATCGCGCGATCGATTCGTTCGATTCGAGCTCTCGAGCCGCCCTCGGCGACACCGTTATAGGCGACCGCGATCCCTTCGCTTTTATTTACCACACGCGCAACGGGATATGCGCTCTCTCTCTTTCTCGTGTATAAACATGGCCGTCGTGCTTTGTGATGATGATCGCCCGTGTCAGCCTGAACGGCCGAGTGTCGCGCGCGACTGCAAATAATATGGATGAGGGACGCCAGTCCCGGAGACCCAGGTAATGACGACGTCGTGTGTTCGCTCCCCGTTGCCGAGCGGACTCCGTTCGGCGACGGCGACGGCGGTGTTTGTGCATATCTCGCTCATTAGCGCTCCTCGCGTTTACGCGCCTCGCTTATATCACAAAAGCGTTTTCTATTTTTCCTCCCTTCCCCCGCGAACGCGAAGGTGAGTGAACCTGTTGTTCGTACGTCACGTATCATTTGCTTATGTAGCGCGTCCGTCATGCGTTATTTGTGCTATCTTTAATTTACTCCCTTGACGTTGTCACGTACGACCAAAGGAGAGCTGTGTATCTTCCAGTGTTAATTTGGCGATTGCAAAAATTTTCGCCAACTGTCCCCTCACTATGTTTGGGTAGTGATAGCTCTCAGATGATTCGTGCAGATTTGTTGCTATGCAATGCATTATCAATGTCAATTTCTATTCTATCGGTCAATCTTGAAGTTTTAGATTATAAGAAGAAATATTTAATAATAACAATAATGCAATCTTATATTTGATAAAAATTGATTAAATATTACTTTTTATAGTCTATTATATAGATAGTTATATAATTAAAAAATTCATGTAAAAGTTTGTTAAAAAATGACTTGTTTATTATATATAAATTACTTACTTTTGTATTAAATCTCAAGTGGATTTATAGTATATTTATCATTTATAAGTTTGTAATAATATCTTTTATAAATCATTTATAAATTTGTAATAAATATCTATATAATGTAACATTAAATTGTTACTAGACATATTGCTAGCACATTCATGTGTATCATTTTATAGGCTGTCGTCTGGGTGAGCAATGAATGTACTTCGCATTTTGACACCGTGTGTGTTACAACGCAGACGCATAAGAGGTATAGATAGTGCTGATAAAAGGGATTCCTGGTTCATGAGAAGACAGCGTGGAGATGCCTCTCACATGACACATAGAATGGGTGCTTCTGCATCATCAAGCATCACCAACGTAGGTGGAGATTCGGTCCAAGCAGCTAGACTTTCAGCGTCAAGCAGTCCAGAACAACATGGCATTGCAGTTAGGTAAATAATTTATTATACTTTTACCTTGTTTGATTTAACTTTGCTACATAAGATATATGTTGGCTTTATGTTTTATAACATAAAAATTTTCATTAATGACTTCTTTAAAATGGTTATCTGAAATAAGAAATTTGGTAATACACAGTGTATTATATTTTAAAATATTAATCTAAGCAAGAAAATAATTAATCAAAGATAATAGCCACAGATTTGACCGCACATCAAACTTTCTATAGTTGTTTATTCATGTATAGAGAGAAGAAAAAGAAGATGACAGGATTCGCGACGTTACGGAAGAAATTTATTAGGAGACGCCGCTCCTCTAAAGCATGTGATCACGGTAGAATTATTAGAGATCTGGTATGCACATGGAGTCACTTAGAAGCAACGGCTCTGCTTGAAGAATATGAGGCTTTAGCTGCATTGAAAGACCTTCATGTTCAAGCCGAATTAGCTAGGCCACCAGCTGCTACTTTCAAGCAAGACCTGTCGATGTTGTATGATTACAAACATTGCTCTGATGTGGATCTTGTATATAGAGGAGCGTGTTTCCCCGTTCACAGAGCCGTGCTTTCCGCCAGATGCCCGTACTTTAGGGATCTGCTAGCTGGCTGCCCTGGTATATACACATTAGTTGTTAATTTATTACAATCTAAACTTTTCTCAGCAATAACATTTTTTCACTTAAAATTAAAATGTAGTTTAAATGTAGTTTACTGTTGAAGTTAATGTCATTTGAATTATTTGTGTCATATATTATTGATTATTCATGCATTTCGTTGAACATTGCAGGATATGGTGCTAGAATATGTTTGGAGTTAAGGACTCCGCATCTCGAGGTACAGATGTTCTCAGCGTTATTGCGGTATCTCTACACCGGTGATATCTGTCCACACGATGCGACGTTGGAAGCGAACTTACTGCGGCGACTCGGAGAGGAGTTCGGGACTCCGAATCCGCTGGAGCATGATCTCAGATATTTATTGGACACCGGCGATTACGCAGACGCCGCTCTTGTGTTCACCTCGGATAATGATTATCAAAGACCGGACAGTGGAAGTTCCGAGTACGGATTTCGTCCCAAACTAGAGCTGCCATGTCACAAAGCGATACTTTCCGCGAGATCTCCCTTCTTCCGAAATTTAATACAAAGGCGGACTAGATCGGGCGAGGATCACACAGAAAGGGCGCTTCACATACCTACTAGAATAGTGCTGGATGAAAGTGTTATACCTAAACGATACGCCAGGGTCCTGCTACATGCTGTATATCTAGATACTGTTGATTTATCATTAATATTGAGAGGGAGCGGTTGTGGAAACAGTGCTGGTAGTCTGGGAGAGGTAAAAGTTTCAGTGTTAACGGCAATATTTTGTTTTACACTGTTGTGCATCACTTTGATATGTTAATTTTTGGATTGAAACTTACAGGTTCAAGCTCTCACACATACAGGTCGTATGCGACCGAGTCCTTTAGAAGAAGCAATGGAATTGTATCAGATTGGACGGTTCCTCGAGCTTGATATATTGTCGCAAGGCTGCGAGGATCTTATTTTGGAGTATCTCACTTTGGAGTCGTTACCGGCTGTTCTCAAGTAAATTTCTTCATCATTAATCCTTTTCCGAATAGTAAGAATCAGCTGGTTACCAAATTATATTGTGCTTTAGGTGGGGCAGTCAACCTCACGGGTCAGCATGGGTGCACAGACAAGCGTTGCATTACTTGAGGGAGGAATTTCAACCGATCGCCTCGTCTTCGATCCTCCATCAGCTAGATCACGCCCATTTAGTGAATGTTTTACAGAGTCATTTTTTACAAGCGAGCGAACTTGAAGTGCTGCAGGCAGTGCTCAAGTGGGGCGAACAGGAATTAGTACGCCGAATGGAGGATCGGGAACCGAATTTGCTCAGCCATACCGTGCACTCCGTGACGAGGAAAGGCATCAAGAAAAGAGATCTCAGCGACATCGAATTGCGGGAGATACTGAGCGAACTTTTGCCGCTCGTCAGAATAGATCACATATTGCCGCCGAATAGCGAAGCATTAGCACAAGTACGTTTTTCTTTCTCAAATATGCATGTCGGGATTATTAACGCGTGGTTAACATCATATCGATAATTCAGGCTATCAGAAGAGGATTGGTTTCTACCCCGCCGAGCCACATGATAGGAGACGAAAGAGATAATTTGCGAGTAAATGCGTGGATAAGAGGCGGAAAGAAGAATGGATTTTTCGTCAGGCCAAGGTTATTCATGCCCTATTACGAAGAGATCAAGGTAATAATATTAATAATATTTTTCAAGACGGTACATTTGCCGATGAAACATGCTGATAATTTGTATTTACTTGCTACTAGTCCTTGGTGGAAGAGCAGATGGTTCAGGAAGCTGATTTAGTGCGATTACGAAGGCCGCGATATGTGGCCGATATTCCAGACGCGCTGTACATGGTTGAGGAAAAGCCAAGAGTCATGGGTACCGCTGGTGTAGACGTTCTTGCTGCAGCATTTCCAGGTATTACGATCTTAAATTACACTAAATCGTGCAATTCTTTGTCTACCTTTTCACAGTTTCTTTCGATTACGGAATTAGCCATTCCATAACTGATTTCTTCCGCTACAATAAAATATAAGGATTAATAACGGAATTTAATATAGCATGTAACAATATTAATATTCATAACTTCCGCATTCTCGTGCCGCCACACGTCGCGCGCGTTTTTTTTTCTCGATATATTATGCACTCCAATGCGCATATCCGCATCTAATTAAAGTGATGTACCTGTCGGATTTTTAATACGCCACAACTCGGCGAAAAATGGACACAGTGACACGCGACAAAAACCGATCTTCTTGGTTTTTTATGCCGCAGATGTTTATGCACACTGCACACTGCTCTTATCATGACATACATGTGTATGTGTATGTGTTAGGCTCAGATAAAATTCGAATATTTTATATATCCGAATCCGAAAGTAACTATTTCGGCGTTTTTCGCGGGATACTTAAGCATAAAGTTCGGCTTAGTTTCCACTATTTGCAATCATTTGTATTGATAGTCGATCATTATTTCATGGTGGAATCAATAATATGAAAATTAGAAAAGAGAAATAACAAATAAACTCAATTAAACAATTAATATAAAATGATGAATTTAATTTATTTGATTATTCTAGTGCCAGATTCTGCAACGATGGCCGCAATGCTGAAACGGGAGCAGAAATTGAGGCAGTCGCCCAGTTGTCAACGAGCCATAAGCTTGCCGCTTTCCTCGCGACATGAAATTAACCGACAAGTGCGATTACGCGTCGTCAGGGAGTTCAATTTGCCCGACACTGTAGCCGATCTTCTAGAGGTGAGTACTTCCTATTGTATTATACATACGTATAATATATGAATATATTTTTATTCATTAAAATATTCAACATGTACATATCATAAAATATTACTCTATAATTTACAATATTTACACGAACGATTCCTACACTCTGTTTTCGTGAATGAGACATTTGTGATATTTAGTCCTTATTTATGATCTTAAAAAAATATATATTTAATATAAATCTCTTAAACGCGTATGATGTTATAAATATAAAAATTGATGTTCTTACTTTAAAAAACTAAATTACAGCTACAAGCTATATGCGTTATGCATAACTATATACATTAAATTTTAATTACAATAAAATGTTATAAAAAAATGCGGCAAACCACGAATCGTATTTCCAACATCACAATGGATAAATTGCATCTTTCGTGTTAATGCCGCGGCTTCTAATACTACTGACTCATCGAAGTAATTATCTATCATGGAAGATATTCATTAGCATACAAACGCGATCGTATAAAACTATTAATTTTTTGTACTACAAATGTGCGATGTTTTTTAATGAAATGGTTTCATTTTATGCGTAGGATTGATTTACCTCAATCCTTCGCCTCCGATTAATTAATTCACAAGCCATCCTTTCCGATCGAATATAGACAATACATGTAACATTTTTTGTTTATAATTTTCGTCATTAACGCCACCCTTAAAAACGTTCTCGTCCGCCGTGGCGGTCGTTTCCGTGACGGAGCCGCGCGCCGCTTGGATTACTTGCACCATCATAATACACTGTCTAAATTTGAGAGGAGCGCATAGATTCATCTGCTCTATAAATTGACTTTTGGGAAATCTGCTCGTGTCTACGTCCAACGATTTTAAACACTCGATGAAAGAGTCGTAATACAAATCAATCATGTCGTCGAGATGACTGTCGAGCACCTCTTTCTGGCAACTCGATATGAGGAAGAATATAAGATCGTTAACGCCATAATCGTAAACTGTCAATTGGAAGTCCACGATTTTCATATTGATTAACTTGCCCGACTCGTCGTATTTGAACAGCATATTATTCACCCAGAAATCGTTATGCACCATTGTTGCCCAAGGTTCTTCCGGCTTCACGATGGTGCGCAATCCGTGTTCGATTGTTTTCTCAATTCTGTCCAAATAAGGCTCCGCCTCTTTAATGTCTTTGTAATCGTCGTGCGCCTTTTTTATCATGCTTACTACGCAATCTTTCGCAGACTCGTCCACGGTGTACTCGAGAGCGGGCAGCACCGCTTTTTCGAAAAATTCGGGTTTTTTCAGCTTCAGACCGATCGTTATGGCGTGCAGTTTGGCTAAATGCTCGATCGCAAAATCCATGTGCACCTTGTCTAGGCCTAGAATGCGATCTTGCGTCGTGTAATCGTGATCTTTGAGATTTTCCAAAATGATGGCGGCCTGTTGATCGAAACGCTGCGGATCTTTCAGGCCTAGCCTGCCGCCCAAAAATTGCGGCGTGATGACGCTTAGATTTTCCCGCGGAATCCCGCTTTCGTTTTGCAGCTTTAAAAGCTCCGGCGCTACAGTGCTGTAGAATTCCAGTTCCTTTTTGAACGTTATCGGGCTGTCGAACAGATCCAATAAATACTCTGATTTCGGCGGTAGTTTAACAACCACGTTCACAGCTATGTTTTTATTATTTTGTTCGCCGCGGATATTGATGGCGAATATTTCACTACCGAAGTTTTCTCCCGGATCGGTTAGTGGCTTCCACTCCACGTCGTGTATTTGAAAGTCGGGACCATACGTTTGCATTAATAGCGCATTCAAATCTTGAACAGGAGACATCTTGGATGAAAATTGCGTTTTTGTCCTAAAAAGAAAAAGAATAATGTCAGATGCATTGTCTTAGAAAAAATAAAAGTAATTGATTGCAGCTCATAAAATGAAATAACCGCCTTACATTGTACGTATTTACTGTGTGGGGCTTCTTAAAAATTATTCAAATTTACTTTGGCACAAATTGGATGTCTTCAATTTTTAATATTGGATACTCCGCAACTGCAAAATAGAGTTTTCTTAAACTAAAGTTAATTAAAAAGGTGTACTAAAGTTAATTAAAAAGGTGTACTAAAGTTAATTAAAGAGGTGTACGTTGGTGCACACTTCAGAATTATAACAATAACAGAACTTCTTGAAAGAAATCAAAAATATTCGGAAACTAATTTTACATATTCGGTGTTTTAATTTATTTACAATATATTGTAAGACAATTGGTATTGTCCAACCGTTAATTAAGCTAATTAAGTTTATTTCAACGTTTTACGAATTTAAAGATTCCTTTTTAATTTCTTGTTGAAGATTCTTGTTGAAGCTAAGTTACATGGCACTTAATTGACCTCGTTCGATCTTCTTGGTTTAGTTAAAAATTCTTTCTTATCACGTAAAAAATTCGACGCATTGATGATTACTGTTTTGACATACTTCATGAACTTTAAATAAGAAGCTTATCACGTAATATTCGCGAGATATCAGAAAGTTACAATTATGTAAAGACAAATTCATGAAGCCACCGAACAAAAGAAATATACTTTATCTACACATATCTATTTATTTAAAACGGTACAATTATTTAAAAAATTTGTAAAATGCGTTCGTATTTAAATGATATTTTACGAAGAACAAATGTTCTCTGCGAAGCAAAATTGATAAGTTGAAATAACTGATTTCGTGTAGTAAAACGAGCGACTGATGTCAATTGATTCACAATTACATTGTATTTGGGTAGAGAAGAGGCCGGCGGCCTCGTAGCTCGGTGTTTTATACCCGCGATAGTAGAGCGGTTCTAGAACATTCTGCGAAGGCTTTACAATTTAACCACGACGATTTGCCATTTGAAGTTAACATTTGTTGTTAACTCCAATTTACACGACGCCACGTGCTTGTCTACGTGCTCGAAACACGTAATTGACAAAGATACGTACACGTTTTGTGAACGTGATCGATAATATTTTTCAACCGTTTTTTTTTTTGTCATTCTGTTGATTTTAATCACGGAGTATTACGTATACAGGGTGTTTCATAATGTCCGTGTCAACGCTCGTGTGCGGATAGAGTGCGGTAAACTGAATAGAAAAGTCCTTTATCGTTTTGCAATTTTCGCAATAATAATTGAGATATTAATTAAAAAGGATTCACGAATAATCACGCGCACGGCTAGATCATAGGCTGTACACTCTAGGTGTGACAGCAACGAGGATCGCACGGCAACGAAAAATAACAACGCATGGCGAGAGCAGGAGTAATACGTGTTGTTATGTTTCATTGCCGTAAGATCCTCGTTGCTGTCACGCCTAAAGTGTACAGCCTATGATCTAGCCGTGTGCAACGCGTGATTATTCGTGAATTCCTTTTTGATTAATATCTCAATTATTATTGCAAAACGGTAAAGGACTTTTCTATTTAGTTTACCGCATTCAGTATATCCGCACATCAGCGTTGGCACGGACATTATGAAACACCCTGTATATTTTTTTCTGACATGCTATTATAGATTAAGAATTAAAGGCGACGATTCTGCTGACATAAAAATGTAGGATGGGCTATTACACATTTCGCGGTATTTAACGCAATCTTTAACAGGAATCTTTAAATTTGTCGCAGTATGTTGAAACAAGAACAGAGAAATTATTAAAATTATTATTGCTGCATTTTTCCTATTTTTCATTTTTATAAAATTTTATTTTGTGGATTTTTTATTCCTTTCTATTTTTTTTACATTTTTTCTATATTTTTCTATATTTTTAAAATAATTTCTCTGTATTTTTTCTATATTTCTTTCATATTATAAAATAAATATTTCTGTATGATTTTCTTGTCTTATTTATCGGAAAATTCTTTTACAAAGAGCTATCGATTTACAAATTAAAACACCAGATATCTCTGAAATTATTAGTTTCTGAATATGTATAAATTTATTTCTTCTAATAAATGCTACATTAATCTTTACAGATTATATCTGTTTACGCTCGTATAAACTTTCGAATGTTTTGCAGATATCTTTGTGACACCGATTCTTTGAAAAAAGCTCACCTTATCGCTGCACAGTGCGATTGACTTAACGATCTCAATTGTTCTCGATATAAAACGTATTTTTCACTTTGCTAACGTTCGCTCGCGTATCACATCCAACATTAACTGTCATTACGATGTGAAGCGTCGCTATTTTATATCATACTAGAGAGAGAACGTCGACTAAACTAAACGTCGGTATGCTTCTCGCGACTATGACTCGCTCATGCAAATTCAACTTGCAGATAAGCCAGTCATTTTCCTTATCGCCGTTTAGTATTACGCATAAAATAAATTTTAAAGTGTACCAATAGGTAGCACAGCATCAAGTGAACTTGAAAACGCAATTTATTCACGAGGATAAATAATACGAGACTAAAAACCGAAATTAGACTCTAATGATCTGACTTTGTAAAATAAATGACGTGGCGTTTGATATCCGATTGGCATGCGTCGGGCGAGAAGGTAAATGTCATTATCTGCACTTACATGGATGCATTGATAAAAACAGTTGAGCCTTTCTGGCGATTAATCGTGTACCATGGCCAAAGAGTGCACAATCTATTTATAAAACATTCGCGCGATACCAGAAACTTTGAGCACACTAAGATAAACGTTGCAGAAACAGCGTGTAAACGTGACCAAAGGTGCTTCTAAATTGTATAAAATCAGTGAATCTAATTACTTTTAAAACCAAAAAAAATTGCGACTTTATTAAAGTAACGTTTCTCCGAACGAAAATATTTGTAAGGCATTCATTTTACAGATTATATTCTATTTTTTTCGAAATAACTAGTGAATAACATATGCAGTGAAGAGTAATTGCTGAAAGATAATAGTCAGTTAAGACTTGATAATTCGTCGCATTCATTTAACTTTAGTGCCCTGTATAATTGTTCAAGTGACTTCGTAACTGCGACGGCATACTTATGAGTGCCAAAGATTACGTGGTGTTTTATTTCTATTAACAGCGCAAATTTATTTTTGGAAACCGTGTTTATATTAATATCGTCGAAATTTCTTTAGTATTAAATATCAATATATTATATTTCGTTACTTTGACATTTTTTTTTTAAGTTACTCTTTGGACATTTTGCAATAGAAGTACCAGGTATGATCAAGGAAAAATCTTTGTTATACTTAATGATTTAACAGAAATTCATTAATCAATAACACATATTATTATGATATTAAAGAAGATAAGGTTTAAGTGATAAAATAATTTATAACGTGCATCTTTAATCGCGGTAGCGCATGTAATTTTCACGCTTATAAATTGTTTTTTTTTTTTTTTTTTTTAATTTTATTATTCACAGAAGAGCAATAGACTGAGAAAATTGTCCGTTATTGAAGAAAATATCGTTGATTAAATTGGTTAATTCGACAGTGATTAACAAGTTAGTGGAAGATGATTACAATTTACGAGGAAGAAACGGAAAAAACGCTTTAGGCAATAATTTGTTTTGTTTTTTCTACATATCGTGCGTATCATCATCGGTCAATAATCATATAATGATACATGTTTGTAGCGATTATTTGCCGCTAATAAAAAAACATCACTTCACGCGTATGCAAATGCACTTTTAGCGCGAAAGCTGCTCTACATTAGACTATGCTTCAAGTTCTCATCCCACGAAAACATTAGCGGATTATCTGCTTAGATACACGGTGTTACTTAACTTCGCCTCAGATTTCCCACACTTTCTTCCATCTACAGATTCTTAGATCAGCTTGAAGTAAAATCGTTAGCGATCTGTCTTTAGCGATCATTTTATTATGTAAAATCTTCTTTCGCAATATTTTTAGAATTCAGCGTTCAATTTTTTTCTTACCGCATTCTATAAAATAGAATTCTAAAATTTTGATACAAAAGCAAAAGATAATAGCGTGGCGTAATATTTTTAATTTCTAAAAATAGATAAAATGTTTGTTTCCGGATACAATCGGAAACGATAATAATAACGATAATGGAATTTATCACATAATTTTTCCTGAAGGTAATTTATGCAATGTGTCAAACTATTCTTCAAATATTATCAGCCAAAAAAAAAGAAAAAAAAAACGGAAAATTAGCAATCAGTATTTTTCCGCGATCACTTACCTTCTACTATTAATCGATTTTATTATTGCATCATCATCGTGTATACATGAATAAATAACTACGCGATCAAAATGACACAATCGTAGTCGTAACAATAAGCAGATGTTGCGAATCAATTTAAATCGCACCTAGGAAGGATTTGCACGCGAAACACGATCGTCTTAACTGCAGACACGCACAGCGAGTGTAGTGTATCAAGTTGAGAACTCGGATGCGGAGAACTCGGATGCGGAGAACTCGCGCATTTGGTATTTCCTGAATATCTTGACGTCTTCGGTACCATTGATAATATGCTAATTTTGCTTATATCGAGATTATACTGTAATCTCAAGCAGGAAAAATGAATACTAACTATGCTGATTCATAATAAATTAATAGCTTTAAGAATCTTTCTCGAGCTATTAAAGATGATTCCATTAGAAAACTCCTGCGATTATATATGATATCTATTAAACTGCTTATATGTATAGCAGAGTATTTAATCAGTATTTAAATTATTTAAGGCTGAGATTATGGATTTGTTACGTAGAGAGGGAGAGAGAAAAAGATATTCAACGTGTTAAAATAAAACAATGGCCCCGAAACCGAAAGCTCATCGCGATAGCGCGTTATTTTACTTGAATCGATCAAAGTGGAAAAATTAGAGATGAGAAAATTAGATTTAATGTTAGATTTAATGCACTAAAAACGTTTACAGATAAAGTCTGAAATGTGAATGTATTGTGTTTTACATTAATATCACATTTCCATTCACTATTCATATATGCGCTGACTGCATACTCTGAGCATCAACTCTTATCATCCGAGTTCCGCCCTTGGTGTTCGCTAACTTGCCCGATATTGATACTCACATAATGCCATTGGCGTACACATTGTATAAATGCGAACAAATGGTAATACGGCTATCGTATTATTGCGAAATAATGCGCCGATGACAAAAGAAACATCGAAATTTTCATCGCGTTATGCAACTGTTATTTGGATTGTGCGCGCCAACGTTTATTTCGAATGATACACAATTGAGTATTTTACTTCGTCGCAAAGTCACTTGAAAAACGTGCGATAAGATCTCGTGCTCAATTGTGAAAAATGGGAATTGCACGGTGGTATTTTCCTGTACGGTGATACTTATATATCATTTATCTGCACGATATGTAACGGAGGAATTATAGTTTGTTTTAAATTCAACAGCGCTCTCTCGGAGTACATCATTATCTTTCGGTCTAAATTTCTAACATCCTGCGTTTGTAAAATGAAAATAATAAGATTGCAGGGTTTAACAATGATTCAATAACTTTGTTACGTAAATCCCTTACGTATTGATCAGAGACGCTTCGCGAATTTGGGACACCGAAATTTCTGCACGAGGTCATATCATTTGGCAGACCTGTGCATCTCTTTTACGCTTCAAATTTGCGATTAGTTTTATATATTATTCGGAAAATTCGTACATTTGTGTAAATTTACTCGTAACATCACTTATTTTTTTATTTTATTAAAAGTATTGTACTTTTCTCGCGTTTCGTTAATTTGCCAATATGAAATAAAACAAAACTTAATCCGTGATATCAAATAATTTGTCAAATAATTTTAATTTTGAAAGTGGTATACTTTTTAATATGAAAAATGCTATTTATTTCCTTAGAAAAATATTTATTTTTTAATTTTCTTGAAGCATTGGAATAAACATAAAAATTTATATTATATTATAATTGTGTATTATTTGCTCATTTACTTAAAAGCATTCTTTGACTGCAAATATGAAAATTCGTATCATATATCAATTTTAAATTAACATTTAAATTTTGATTTCACGGATTATTCTGCGTAATTTAATAATTACACATGATTGCCGATAAATTTCTTGCTTTTTTTTATTAATGAGAATATTATTTACCTTAAGTGTGTAATGGAGAAGAATCGGAAATGTGTTCACCAAGGATACAGCGCGATAGATGAAACGATTACACGCGTTGCTCGGAAGGACGATGACGTTAAACGTTTTTTTTTTTGTTCTTTTTTTGTAACATTCGCTTATGCACTGCGGTGCACTGCGCGTGTGGTTGCACTTGCTTTGACACAGCGTAATTTCGCGCGACTAACGTCGCCAGGAGACTCTCGTCACTGTTTGACTTTGCCTCCTATTCTCCCCCTTTTTCAGCACTCTGCTCGTGCTTATCTGCGTCTTCTAATACATCGAATTAGACAAGCGCGAGAGAGACTTTAGGAAGACGAGCGTCAAGTACGAAATAACGAGATATAGTGCGAGATGCGCACTTTGTTTCAATGTAACGAGATGCAAACGAATCCTCGGAAGCATTCTGCTGCATGAAATTGCAATTTCAAACGGCTGTGGCGATAACATTTTTCAATGTCAGTGCTTCTGCTGACTCATTGTGATCATAAATTTGTAAAAATTAAATGATTAATGATGAATTAATGATGGAAATTGAGATAAAAATTAATTGGTACATTTTTTTTAAGTGAAGAATTAGTTTTTAAATGCCTTTTTACTCTTTTCTATTGGTAGCTACACGTCGCGATGTTGGCAATAGTATTTTTATTAAGATGCTTGTTTTATAGGAAAATCTATAACAATTTTGTACAATAAATTTCTGTCAATTTTTTAAAATCATTAATTTTTTTTAGTTTTTTAAACGATTATAAAACAAGATAAAATATTTGTTTATGTTTTATTCGAAATAAACGCTGATATTCAAAACGACAGTTGCATAAGGCGCAAAAATTCTTATGATTCTTTCGTAAATGGCGCATTATTTCGCAGTAATATTACTGTTTGTATATTCGTGCAACATGAATTCCGATAGCATAATCTGAATATCGATATCGGGTAAGCTCGGGCGGAAGACAAGGACGGAGAACTGTGCTCGAATAATAAATTGGTGGCGTGTATAAATGTAGGAAAATGATAGATGATAAATGGATACAACTATAATTTATTCTACAGCTTTATTCTGCCATTTTCCAAAAGCATTATGCAAATGTATTTTTGTGATACAAACTTTCCAACAATAATAATGTTGACTATTTTACGGATGAGATTTTTGCTTTAGTGAGATGTATGTTATTTATACACTTTACTTCTTGTATGAATAATACATTTTACATTTGAAATTTTTATTCCCGACTGCTGCTAAAATCATGGCAAAAACGACGAGTACACGTTTCACGGAGGTCGATTTTTACGTCATCAGTAGAATTTGACGCCCAACTTTACAGATAATGTAATATCGCAATTTTCTCATTGAGTCTTTGTAAACGATGTGAAGGATGCGTATCGTACAATAGTTTGAAGAACGTCATTTACCAAAAATAATTCATCGTGATATTTCATGTCACATTATAAACGAGGTTGCATGACGATAATACACGCGGTATCGCATCGGGGGTGACGAGCGGGTGACTCGTGAAACGTCACTGTTGTACTGTCAATCGGATGAAATGCATGTAATCTGTAATACGCTGTAGCATTATGCATGAATAAATGCAAATACGTATTATTAAATGCATGGAGGGTGTTGCATCACTGCAGCTGGATATAATGCGTCAAGAGGTGTAGAAAATGCATTATAAATCGGGATGCGAAATCATTTCTATTTAAAAGAAATTATACTATGGGCGGATAGACGGAATTTAATTAAATACCATAAAAATTGAAAATTTTACTAATTGTTTTAATTTAAAAAAATATTAATTGTACACGCGTGGATAATACGCAGCACAACAATATATATATCTCGTTGCTTTTAATCATTTTTTTAAAATAACATTGCTGCAGATATGATATTGTAGAATTCCTGTTTTTAGAATTTAATATAAAAGAATAAAATTCAGTGTTTTAATTTTAATTCTTTTTTATACACTTTGATGAATTTTTTAATGAATATTAAACAGGTAGATTTTTTTATGTACAGAGGGATGTGAAACAATTTAAAATTTTATGCATTATGCATTGTCACACGTGTGTATTTATCTATATATACGATGCGTTATCGTCGTCCGCGATGACATAACGTTTCTAACATGTCAAAACAGCGTAACGCTTCTAACATGTCAAAACAACATTATGTATGTACCAGAACTTTGGTGATCGCTTGCACTTCCTGTGTTTCCAAGTAACACTTGGAATTATGCGAGATTAAAAAAAATTCTCGTCATCCTGCAGTTTGCAGCACGTGCCCGCACTATTTATTGTTTTTTAAAATCATTCAAGTATGCGAGACTCATGAGGAAAACGGATAATTAATTCTGCTGAATAAATAAACGAAAGTGTTTGTCGGGGGATTGAATGTCAGAATTAGGATTACTTCATTTGCATTAATTATAAATTTTTGCGCATTATTAAAAAAGAGATTAAATTGCTATAAAACTAATATCGTAACAAAATTGAAAGATTTTTCTTATTTAGAATGCTGCAATGCTGCCTTGAAACGCATACGTCACAATTGGCGAATACGATCGTCATAAAGTTTATATCGATAGTATTTCTATCATTATTTATATAGTTCGTCGCACAATCCGTTCTTATCGCGATAAAATCAATGTTTAACATGTAAACATTATCTTAGATAATATCATAAAACTTGCAAGACTTCCTTGTATAACGTACATGTTGATGTCATTGCTTGCTTGCGACTTGATGTTCATACGACAAAATGCAATAATTTAATACTCTCGGGGTTAAAAACGTAACACACGAGAGGGTAACAGAAAAAAAAACAATAAATAGTTTCGAGAAAAACATAAAACATAAAAATTACATATAATTACGTGTAATTATACGTAATTTAGTATTTAATTTATTTAAGTTATTAAATTTAATTATACTATAACTATATACATAATTTTTTCGTACTTATACGTACATTACATACACTTGAACGAAAAAAAAAAATTGTTTTGTTCAGATTTTCACACGTGTTCGTCGTTAGACGCTTACGTAATTTTAAAAGCGACGCAGGAAGGAAGATCTTAATGGGAAGGCGACACCTGAGAATAGGCGTGAATTATTACGAGTGGAAGAATTGTGCGCGCTGCGTGCTCGTGCTTGTTAATTTGTAGTCGGCGTATAACGTATGTAAGGCATCACTCTTCGGTCACCGTATATATGTTGTTCCTTTACATGCGACACATGTCAATTAGGTCACGGCTCGCGCGTTCTATTTCGGGAAGAGCAGGAGGGAAGAACCCTCTTCTCCCACACGCGATAGAGATTCATTTCTATCAATTCGTTTCTGTACTCGTCCCGCACGTTCAATCGACTTTAATTCCCGCCACGCATCGTCCATTTATGTCATTAGCCCCGTTTCATTTGACACTCGATCTACAACGACAATCTCCAATTAATATATATCTGCAGCGACGACGTCCCGCGAACCGCGCCGCCTCTAATCGCGCCCGCTTTCTCTCCTCTTGCATTATTCCGCGCTTTTAATGCATCATTCATTTAAGCGGCAGCGCGCGATAAATTGCCGGCATATCGATTTCAGAACACAGCGTCTTACAGTATGAAAGAGCAAAACGAGCAGAGGATGACAGATATAGAGGACATTGACTCGCCGGGCATGGGTATTCGTGTGAGAACTACCGCCCCGGTGTGTTACGGGAGGAACATGACATTTCCTCGGCCGACTTCGTCTTACGCACATAGACACGAACTTCCAGCTATAGTGACCGAGGGAGAGAGCTGCAGGCTTCTTGCCGAGGTAAGGGACAACGCGATTACACGTGCACACCGACACCTCCAGCAACTTTAATCTCGCATTTAGGCTCGGTTACGGCAGCGGCTCGGTGTATCTCGCGCTCTAGACTCAACTTTCTTAATTAAATTTTCTTTGTCCGCCCGCAACGCAAGCCGAGCAACTGTAATCTAGAATAGCGCAAATTGCTTAACCCGGTCTTATTTAATATCCGAGCTCTCGGTGCAACCGAGTCAGACCAGTTGCGGAACTAAATATATATATATATGTGTGTGTGTATATTTTTTTTTTGTTTTCACGCGCCAGAGAGTCTCGCGTTTTCTCCTCATCGTAACGCTCGATTTACTATCGCCTCGGTTAGGCCCCGCGATTAGCGCGCACCACTTCCGCGAGAATTAGATTATGCAAGAGATATCTTTGCTCTTTGGTTCGCAGCAACAAGAGGGCAATTCTTGCAGCGACGGCCAATTGTCGGGCGTAATGCCGGACGTAGCGATGGCGACGGCCTCCTTCGGCGCTTTGCATTTAATCGAGGAGCAGGAACTGGAATTGGATCTCGGTGACGGGGCGTCGCACCTCTTGCCGCACGTTTCCCCATCGAGCGGCGGAAGCATCGAGGCGGCGGCGCACCGGTCGTCGCTTCCTCATCAGCATCAAAGACACTTCTCCGGCCCGCCGCCCCCACCGTATGTGTATCATCGTGCTGGCACTGCCTTACCGAGGTTTATTTGAAATTTATATACAATGTGTGGAAGCGAACAACGTGGCAACTACTGATCCCCTCCCCCCTCCCCCTCCCCCCTGCGCCACCCCCTTTTTCCTCCCGCCCTCACCTCTCTCAACCCTCTCTTCCGCCCCTTATTATTACATAGTCAGCTATCGTAGCGTTTATCGATCAAACCTTGTTATTGCGGGTACAAATTTACTACAAGGATAATTGTATGTACATTTTATTTAAAGCAAGCTTTTAAAGAAGGTAGAAAGTACTTGGTTTAAGATTATCTTGTAATCTCATCAAATCTGGAAGTTACATACTGTGGAAAAACGAAAATGCAAAAAAGAACTCACCGCTTACCGAGTACGATGCAATTTTCGCGGACGCGTATACGGAGCATACGGATGTTTCACTGTAGAATATATATATTATATATATATTATATGCATACATATATATACACTGTGTATGTATGTATGTATAGATGTAATAACTAAGTGCAATCGTGTAAGGGACAAAAAAAATGCGATTGTGATTTATACATATAAATATGTAATCGTGATATGTGTATGTGAGTGTACTTATGCGGGCGCGTGCGTGTATGCGTGTGTGTGTGTGTGTGGTAGGGAATAACGTGTATCCGTGGTTCTGACTCCGAAGTGTCAAGACTGTTAGCAAGAAAGTTTCCAAAAGAAAGAGGAACAATGTACGAGATTTTGAATAAATCGCGCCTTGTCACATCCATCACCTTCACTCCGCATAATGATACGAGGGGGGAAAGTGAAAGTGTCATGTTATTCCTCGGCGGTTTTGCGTCTTCCCGGCACGCGGAAAGCGCGGCGGCGACTTTGCGCGAATGGAGCTGCGAAGCGCTTGATGACATTTTACCATGCTAAACTTTTTAATTTTTCCTCTCTTCTAGGGCAGTTTCGATGTATGACGGGCTATAGTAAGACTGTAAGTATATAAGAGAAATCCAATCGATAAAACATATATCGCGCGCTTAGAGATGACGTCCGGGGTGCCTCGGGTCGTAAAAAGCGTGCGTGACGTCTACGATATTTAATGGGTTAATTAATTATCGCTAAGTGCCCGGGTGCATGAGAATTTTCTAAGAAAAAATTTTCCATGAATTTAAATGTACGCCTCCACCGGCCTTGCCGCCGCGGCTTGATTGTAATATATCTGCAAACAGGGTACATACTATACGGGGTGACCCAGAAGTCGCGTATTGTTTTTAAACAATACCCGGTTGATCGTGAAAAAAATGAGATTAACTTCGAACCACACGAATGAGTGGATATTAGAAGCTTCTGAAACAAAATAAGTTTGGAGGAAAAGAAAAAAAAACGGAAATCTTTATTCTTCAACTAGTCTGTTAGTAGAATTTAACTGAAGAAAATTTAAATTTCTAATTTAGAGATAATAATTAGAGAGAGAGAAAGAGAGAGAAAGAGCATACATCAAAATCGTAATAATTGACATTTAAAGAGATTATATCTAATTAAATTCTTGCTAATTAAGAAAAAGTTGACTATAAATTTGTCAAAAAAAAAAAAAAAAGTCTAGTCAAGGCAAAGTTTGCTTCTGGATCAGCGTGTACATTTTGTTCCGCTAAAGTCATATATATTTAAGAGGTCAGACTTTGTATGAATTATGCCGCACAATACAGAACTGTGGGAAACATGTCACTTTCACTTTCGCTGAAGCAACAACGATTAGGCGGGAATTAATCACTTGAAACGTACAGATGTAAGATTAATATTGACGGATAGAAACTATTCTTTATTTAATATGGCCCCTCTGTGTCGACGTGGAATATAATTATTATTAAGATACTCGATATAGAGCTTGTTTAAACTATATATTCAAGGAATTCGTTTACCGTCCTTACGTTAGATATTTGAATTATTATTTCCTGTGTATACCGACAGCTGCGTTTAATTAAATAATTTTTTATTGTATTATATGCATTTTGTTATATTCCTTAGAGAAAGGTGCATTTTGTCTTAGACAGAAATAAAAATCGACGTTGTCGGCGCTGTTATGTAGCTGCCGACATAAATTGTGATATTATTCGAAAAAATTATTGGTTTGATCATTGTGATTTATAATAAATTTATCTCTTACAACTTGAATTAGAAAGATATATTATTATGTAAAATATCGTTAACTGTACGCGATTCATAAGCTATAAATACCGATTGTCTGCTTTGTAAAGTGTGTCATCGCGTTTATCTATCTATCTTGCGAATTGTAAAATTACTTAAATTTGTCAAACGATATTGAATCGTGAATCCACGGATTGTATCAAATAATGTAATATCAGCTGCGATAGTAGTTCGTGAATCCACGATCGATTGGCAATGTTATAATTTAAAGCAACACTAGACCAACTTTTAAGACCAGAATAAAAGAATAGTTATCACGTAGATAGATTAATACTGTATAGACTGAAATATATCGCGAGAGTAGTATTTTGACATTCTGTATAGTTTCTGTATTGCAAAAGAAAAAGAGATAATTAAGATGTCAACATTCGAACATTTAAAATTCTTTATTTCCTTTTAAAATTATTAATTTATAAGCTATCGAGAAATTCTGATTATGTTCGCTGAAAAATAAAATTTTCGGACAGTTTATCTTTTTTATGACTCACACAATAGGTGATTCGCGTAGATATATATTTAAAAAAAAAGGTTTAATAAATATTTCAGAATGGAAAAGTTTGCTATTTTTCTTCTATTCCTAGCAATTCATTATGTAACATCCTGCAAAATTGCGATATTTATTCCCATATCCACATCTCTACATTCGCTACATTTAGAAAATACAAGGATTGTATAATCGTTCAATGAACATTTGCTCAGCAGAAATCCGTTTTCTGAATAAAAAAAAAAAATAGCTGGTTGAAATATATATATTCTTAATACTGCGTCAGTTTATCGGTGGCTGCATAATTTCTCGCAGATTTTCGTAACGCGTTAATGCGATAATGATCGTCCATTATCTATTATTTTCGGAAATTTTTTGTTCAACATTGCATTCTCTGAAATAATAAACATATTAATTAAAGGAGCACATTTTGGTTTTAGCGTGAAATACTTGATAATTAATATACAGTACATATAATACATGTATTAAAACGGATACTTAATGAAATAGGACTTTGCAACACTATTGCTTACACCAAATTTATGCGGAAGTGTTGTACATATTCAGAGAAGCGAGGAATATTGCGCGACAAAATCCAGCTTCCCCATATTCGCTTTTGACGTCATAATACCACTACGCTTACGTGCTCACAACGGATGGGCGACTGCACAGCATAATTCAGCATAAAGTTCTCCGCGACGACTTGTGCCATTTGAGAGAAAATTCTTGTCGCCTGTACATTTTTACTGTTGCACAAAAATAGCTTACCGCGTGGAGCTTATCAAGGAGCGTAATCCAGTGTTACAAGTAAACAAATTCACTGTGAATAGTAAGCAGCTAGAAATAAATAGGATGCGATTTTAATCTTTTTTCGCGCAACTTAAGATTTCTTAAAATATATATAATTTCTTAAAATGCACTCAGACATGGAGTCATGAAGTTCAGTGGCTCCCCGTGGCTTCAGTTTGTTCTAGATCGGGATTACGCGAAATATCGATAGATATCGATGGATTTGTTAATATTTTTTCACAAAAAAAATGCAGTAAACAAGTTTTATTTGAAAGTAAGATTTTATAATACCTCTCTGATAAATCCAAAAAATTATTTATTTAAATATTAATTAGTTTGAGAAATATCACTAATTCCGGAATATTGAAGATTTTATTTGGATTTTATTTCGTTCGATTGCATCAACTCACAACTCATAATTTAATGATATTACGTATAGAGTGACAGATAAATTTGAAAAGTTGTTATACGATATTCCTCGATATTTTTTTTAGAAAAAAATTACTCCATAAACCGAAGAGTTTATTAATGCGATCCAAGTCGCAAATTGTGGTACATTCTATGTTTAGCACCAATATAATATGCGTAAATTATAGTTCTGGTAACTACATTTCGAGCACATTCGACAGCAATTTCGCTCTCATGATGAGGTAAGAGGTCTGTAATGACTGAATTGTATTTACATATCGTTATAATCCTCTTAAGCATTCAAGTGTAATATAAATGTTTAACTTTTTTGGGCCATTTGGCTTTATTTCGAGACATTGATTTGGAAAGCTGAAAGCTAATTTTAAGATCCAGAATATATTTATAACAAGATACGAGAAATAACGAGATGACACTATAAAATTCATATTACGTTTACCAAATGTTTTTATAATTTTCACAGTATTGTGAGAGCAGAAACAACATCAGGTGAAATAAATCTGCGTTTAAGAAATTCGTGGATATAAAATCACAACTTTGCAACTTTTCAACGTTGAGGATTTAGACATTAAATTCTTATCTCGCGCTGTATTCGATTTTTAAAATGTTTGTCGTATTATCTTGCATATTTATTTTTAAAATGTCGAGGCCGTGTACAGATAAAGATATAAAAATATGTATCTGATTATTTCGAGATAACTGGAAGCCTTTGGAATGCGCACGAGCAATATGAAACAATGCATGCAATAATTGTGTGCTACAATTCCTTTTCTCAATATAAATTGAATACGATAAAGAGGAAAGATTCAGTGATAGATTTTAATTACGCTGAATGTTTATTTCTCTGCAAAACAACGCTAGTCATACATCGGTAAATAGTACACCAATTTATTGTAATTGCATTAATTTGTATATATGCGTTTATGTTAATTCTAAAAAAAATTTAGGAAATTGTCATAAGGCATAATTTGAGTCTTGCATCCGACATCTTTTATTTTTACTGCGAAAAATCGGCACATTACGGATGCTGCAATTATATCACTTATCATCTATCACTATCAAAGAATTTTACGGCATTATAACAAAGTAACAAATACGTTATATCTAAATTAATTATAATTAATATGCGCAGTACTGTGGCTTTTTTAACTCTTCACCCCTCCTTTCGTCTGTTTCTGCAATATAATATAAATAAATCAGATTTCTCGTAATGTCGATGTTGCATCGTAAATCTATGTATTTAAAATAGTATTAATCAGTTTAAATAATTTAGTTTTTGTATCATTTATTGGTACGAAATATGGAAATTTACCGCGAGCTGTTCCTTCTCTTTGCGATCCACGATCTTACAACGAGCACGTCCGCCAAGTCCTTTAGCCTGTTCGCACTTGCAATCCTGTTCGAGCTCGACACTCGTGAGACCCTCGGCTATTCTTCGAGCGGTGACCTGCGCGAACTGTTTCTTCTGATTCGATTTAGCATCCACCAAGTTATTGGAACTGAACGCCGCTCCACCAGACTGCAATAACATTATATTGCAATATCGTTTGTCACTATTTATCACCCGTTCATCACGTATTTATAGTGGTAATAGTGATATAGTGATGGGAATAAATGCAATTGTATATGTAGAATGCTTATTTATCAATTTCTTTTTAAAAATTTAAAACTACCTCTGTTTTGAAATATTGTTGAAATAATTCTCTTATTTTGATTTACTTACCGCGACAGCGAAGTCGGCACACACGTCAGCGGTAGGTAGAACCAAGTTGTTTCTGAGCTCGTCATTTCCGTTCAGCGGTCTCTTTTTACTCTCGGCGAACACATACGCGGTATCTTTGTCGTAACCAACAATGTTCTTTTGCGATTTACCAGAAACTTGGATGTCACCGGGGTAGTAAACGTGGTAATAGGTCAAACCTAAATCTCGGTATATTTTCTGTCCGATTAGAAGCCTTAGTTGCTGCAACTAAAAGAGAGAAAATGGAATTTTTTGTCAGCGCATCGTAATAAACGAATTCATTTATCACAATAAATATTAAAATATCTTACAATTCGTTTTACGCTAGAAAATATTTTCGAAAACACATTTTTCACTGAGTTGCCTCTGGCAACATTTATTAACTTCAATTGTAGTTTAATTAATTTTTTATTATTCGGAAACAACAAAGAATTAAATTGCAATTAAAGCTAGGAAACATCGATGAAACCAATTAAAATTGTTACTGTATGGATGGATATATTAATAGAATATAATAATAGAATAACGATATTAAAACAGACAATAAGAGATGGTTGAGTATAAACTCAAGTGCATTTAAACACGAATAAAGGGAGCTCACCGATAGAGGGAGTGGACTCTTCTCGCATGGGGTAGCTAAAATTCCAACAACAGCTTTGACCGCGCCAGGTCTGAACGAATAATTAATGGCTTCCTCGTAAGCCTCGGTCAACTCGAAAGTGCCCAATTCCAGATCTAATCTTTGCCCAATGAACTGCAATATCTTCAGGATGTCGCCTTCCTTCGCCTCCTGTAAACACACAAGTAATTGCGCGTAACGGAAAGTTCTTAATATCGAATCCGATATTCACGGATAATATCGCGTAACATTAAATTACCTCCAGAGTTATAATCGGATCCGTTTCCTCGAATTTGATATTTTTCACGTCGCCTTCGATGTTCAGATTGCCGTTGCTTGTGTAGTGCTGCGGGTGATTCAAGTGTTCGCCGTAACCAATTAAACCGATGTGTACATCCCTATTAATTAAAATGCGTGATTTTTCAGATGTCTTTTAAACATTTTCACGTTTGGAAAGAGCGCGATATTTTTCTCTGCAGTTAGAAAAATATCAAGTAACTAAGTTCACTTACGTTATGCCCTGCAGTTTCAGTTCCTCTCTCAGATCAGTTATCAACGTGGGAATCAGATCTTTGAAAACTTTCTCATTTTCCGCGGTTTGTTCGATTACCAAAATAATGTCGGCTTGATTCTTTGGAGTCTTGACGCTGAAGGTATCACCGATAGCGACCGTGTTACCGCCGACCTTACAGTTTGCTGAAATATTACGACATAAATTGATTCTCCAAAGTAATCGGTATGTATTTATTATTTAAATTTTACCTTAAAAACAATACTTTATATAAATTCGTAAAAAGTAATTTAATGTTATGCCGAGAAGAAAATTAGATAAATTAAATTTTGATGAAAACTGCTCAATTCGCTGCTGCATCAATTTCATATTTAACGTGTTTCGTGAAATATGTAACAGTATAACAATTTAACTTACTGCATTGAGGTGGAATGCTTATTCCGGGAACAGCTTTATAATAACAAGCGGAGTAATAAGCAACGGCGAGCAAACAAGAAGCTTTCTGTGCGTCAGAAGGATTTTGGTTGGCAGCGATGTCGCAAGTGTCTCGGTAATGAGTCACATCAACGTAGTTGAAGCAGCCTCTGTAAAATGTTACAAAGAAACATCAATTTCGAGATTTGACGATAAAGTAACTGCAATGATTCCATTATTTTGCTGTTTGCAGAATTCCGATTTAAATACATAATGTGTCGGGATGTTTTGTGTAAAACGTGAATGAAATATCTCAAGGGCTATTTGATTCGCTAACAGAATAATCTCACTCTTTATCGCATTTTTATGAATCTTATATTACTTATTAGTGTTAAATGTCAGAAATCCGTGCGCTGAGCGCAGTCGCAAAATTAAAGTCCATTTGCGTCATGAAGTTTTTTTTAGAGAAGATGTATTTTTCAAATACGTTTTACTGCCTGTATAATGTGATGATTCGATATAATTACATTTTCTTAATAGCGAATGTACTTACTTTAACGTGGACTTCTGGCCAGAGAAATATTCAGTGCAGAGTGAATTACGTTGCTGCTGCGTCTTCTGATCGATCGCGTTCACAGCCGCGCAATCGGACTTCAGTTTATATCCGTTAGCAAATTCAGTCTCGCTCTCGGTAAGCTGTTTCAATTACGAAAAAGACAAATAATGATAAAGAAGACGATAAGAACCAGAAGCTCGGTTGCGAAAATTACGCTTTAGAGAACTCTGCGAAATTCTATCATCTTAATGCACAAGATCCTTTCATCGTGAAACCTCATACCTATACTTCGCTAAAAATAGAACGTCGAACATTTTATTTTAGAATTTACAGATGAAGGAGAAACTTTTGTACACTTTTGACATGTGAATTGATTTAGCCTTTTATTTAATAAACACGAGTTGTGATTGGTCACCCTAGTTTCGAACTGTCGAGTAGGGTATTTTTCTCACGACGAAAAAATACCGATCCCTTCGAGAATTCGTAATCCCATTGGAAAAGAATGCCATTTCAGGTAGACATTCCTCTATCGATCGAAGTGAGAACTTTTGAATAAAAGCAAAGTATACAAAGAACATGATTTATTGTCCCGCGATATTACCGTAATAGTCCTGTGATATTACCGTAAGGTAAGAATAGAATAAAAGCACGACGTCGAGAAAATGAAGGACGAACTTCCAAGAGCACGAAGAAGCAGATTATGTTAAGTATTTATAACGCGTTACATTTTTCATTTACTTCCTCAGGTAAATTACGCTATCAATTTTGAATCTTCTTCCATTAAGACTAGCCGAAGAATATTCGCTAATCATCCGCGATATCCAAAAAAGATCGTTTTCTGTTTTGTTTTAATCGATTATAATGCGAAAATAATTAGCGAAATTTTTGGAGAGCCAAATTTCTTTCCAAAAAGCTATTGTGCATTCTCGAACATTCTATTTAGCGCAATTGGAGCGCTTTTTCACGAGCGAGAAACTTTATTTATTTAATAAAACGAAATTGCTCACCTTTCCGGACGGCAGCGTGTAGTCGTCGTAGTATTCGTTGTTGCCGTCACCGAGAAGACCGCGCAATTTTCCGTGATAAAAGCCGGACACGCGGATCGTGCAGACCAAAGGTAGTTTGTAGCTGCATGTGACGTGTATACCATAGTCGGACCTGATGTGTGCAATCGGGGCGGTGACGAACGCGTGCAGATTCTCCGTACTGGCTGGGAAATCGGCCGGCTTGTTATTCACCAGAATCTGGAAAAAGAGAAATGCGAAGCGAATACAATCGCGCACGAAACATCAACAAGAGTATCGCGAAAACAAGCGCGCCGGATGGAAAAATAAGCTGGATTTCCGCGCTCGTAATAACGAGATCCGCGCGAGAAATGAACGAGAGCGAGCTTTATTCCTTCCTCGTTCCTCCGCTAGAGAAGAGATAATAGAGTTTGACTTGTCAGCAAAGTTCGGAGCCTCTTCGGCAAACTTGCAGTTCAATACGGGATTGCATTATAAGATTCGAACTCGGAATACCGAGAGCGATCTGCGGATTCCCCTCCCCACACCTGCCATTCCTCGGCTCATTCTCTCGCCACCCCATTTGCCCCGTTCTCAATTCACGTCACACGTACACCGAGCGTAACTTGCAGGCGCTACAGGAAATTGGTTAAGAGATAAGGGAAATAAACTTACGTTGCCATTGTTCTTTAGCGTGATGCTCTCTTTAGGTTCCGTAACGGTCACGCTCTGGAGATTTCCTTTGTTGAAGTTCGCGACAACGGAGAAATTGCCATCCTGTATGTCCTGAGCCAATACGTATGTGCAGTCGCCCGGTACGCTGAAGTGACTGCCGTCGAAGGTGAAGAAGTGGCCTCCGTCGACGATAATGCCGACTTTGCTGAAGGGAGGAACGATGTCGCCTGGCAGCAGAGTGGGTCTGTTTGCGGGGTGATTAACTTTGTTATTACTATGGCGAAACAAAGGTCGCAGCGTGCACTTTTGACTTGGACGAAAAATTACGGTCGAAAAGAAAATGTATAGACAAAGTGGATGGAAAAAGAAAAGGAAAGTTTAAAGTACCTGTAGGTGTAATAGAGATCCGCCAGTGATGGAAGTTCGTTATTGTGTAACAGACTTAGGAGAGACACTTTTATGGTGGTGATCGTTGGCAAGCTCGTAAATGCCTCCAACTCGATGGGAACGTTAGTATCGAGCAAGCTTTCCACTAATTTATCCAAGACGTTGTTGGATTCCAGAAGCTTGACGACGGACGTGGCAGCATCGATCGCAAGTCCATAGATCGTTTTGATCTCCTCAGCATCGTTAACCTGCGAGAGCCGAGCGTATTTCGTTACTTTAGCTAATCCTGCTACTCGAATCGGTCGATTCCGAAAGCGATCTCAACCGAAACGGAAAAATGGAACGTTAAATTGGCGGAAAACTTACTTGTTTGTGTTTGATGTGTTTTACGATGTATTGGTAAATGGCGTCGAAGAATTTTCGAAGTTCCTCGGTCGGCAGCGCGCCTTTCGTGACCTCAGCGAGGTCATGGATAGAGTCCAGTATGGATTCCGGAATTTCTGGAATCTTGAAGTCGTGATATTGCTCCTTTATGTATTCGTAAATCGGCAAAGCTTTGAGTTGATTGATCAACAGGACGGCGAACTCCTCGACGTCCTTCCTAATCTGAGTGGCGCCCTTATATATGATCTTAGCGATATCCTGAGCGATCTCCGAAGCTATTACCGCTAATTCCTTCAGCTCCTTTTGATGTTCGTTAATTATGGAGAGTAGTGCTTTCAAGTAAATCAAAGCAATATTGGCGGCAGCATCGAGGACCTGGATGAGCGCATTGGCTATCTTGTCGCACGAGTCTCTCAATTGAGGATAAACTGTCTTCCACACTTCTTCGATCTTCGCGACTAATTGCTCGTATTCTTTTTGAAGCTCGTTTAATTGCCCGCTTACTTTTTTCAAAGTATCTAACACAGCAGTGGCGATACCTCCAAAGTGCTTCTTCCTGTAAGCATACGATCAATTAGGCGTAACGTTACGATAATCCGGGAAAAAACCTATGAATAATTATTAATAATTAAAATTTCAACCTACAAACATATTCAGATGCGTATCGATTTTTATTTATACGTAATTTATATTCGCATGAAAAATATTTTGTTTGCATTTTTATAAAAATTGTACAGTGTTGAAGAAATGGTAATGTAATATTGAATAATATAACAATTAAGTTCTTACAAAGTAGCCTGTATGTCTTTGATGGTTTGATCAGCGTGGAGCTCCTCTTTCAGTTTTTTTAATTCTTCTTCGTAATAGTTAGCGAGCGGCTTGATGTCCGGCTGAGCCTTCTTCAAATGTTGCACAAGATCCCTCAATTCTCTGTCTAACTCGTTGGCTGCTTCCACAGCGGCATCTTTGAAGTCCTTCAGCAGCTCGATACTTTGGCTTCGATAACGTTCCTAAATCATATCGTCAGTCAAGTTAATAAAGCAACACTATAAATATTTACACACGACAAATAATGTACTCACAGATGTCTGGATGATGTTGTCCTTGTTGTAGCCGAAGTCGGGTTTCAGGAACTTTTCTTCGTCAAGGTGAATCAAAACGTTGAACAAGTGCTTCTTCGTTCCGTCCTTGAAAGCATCGGCATGTATCTCGGCCAATTGTCCGAGCACAATGCGTCCATTAACGGTAAGCTTCGTGTTGGGATTATCTGAGGAATATCCGTATGTTTAATCCACGTGAATATTTATTATTTAAAATACGAATAATTTTTTGCAGTTTCACGCGGCTGTGAGCAAATATCATAATAATCTCGCGAGTATATCTCGGGGTATATTTAAAAAATTACCGTCGTTTTGCAAAACGACAAAATACTTAATTATGCACAACTCACCTTGCTGATATTCCAAATACTTGAAGCTATTCCAATCATTTGACTCCGCATTAATTACGATGGGCTTGTTGCCGACGACTGCAATTTCCGCGTCAAGCTTCTGCAGATTCTTCTGTAATTGTAATTTCGTATCGACTCGAAGAAGTTCTTTGCTGGGCGACGAGACGAGAAGATACGCCTCTGTGGGATCAAAAGAGAAGACAATTCCCGCGCTCCTCGGTTTCTGATTCACGTCCGTGTACGATAGCACGCTACCGAAACCGACTACGCGATCCGAGACCGCCACGTGAGATTTCAGGTCGACTTTAAGCTGTTGCCCGCGGCTGTTCACTTCGATCACGCTGGTGAGATTGTAACCCTTCTGGAGAGCCTGTCGATTCACTTTCGCCAGCACAATGATCTTCTGCGTCTTCTTCGCGAAGACATCGATGTCCACGTTCGCGTCCAGCAAGTGCTCGCCGCCGTAATGAAGTCTGCCCTTCACTGCTATATCCTGGTGGCAGAAATATCGCGATCGATGTGATTCGAAGAAGTAAAATCGTAAATCGCGTAACAATCGACTTAAGATTGCGAAAATGCAATAAGAGAGCGGGGCTTAGCATGTAAAAGTAAATTGACGGGAGAGTGTGCTATATTGCTCTTTTTATAGCCGAGTGGCTCGCTGAAACTCGATGTTGCCGTTAGATTGCGAGAAAATCGAAGGTAAAGTAAAAGGCTTTTCGCCGAGATGCTCTCTTTTTAGTTCTATTTCAAACTTATTCACGCGCAAATTGGAAGCAAAATTGAAAATGCTTTTTCAGCTAAGCTTCTCTTTTGCACAGAGAGAAAGAAAGAGTTTTGCACAAAGAGAGCTTCACGTGATTTCCACGTCGCAGTCTAGATTTAGAGTTTGCGCGATAAGGATATTTTTAGCGACGTACCTTCGGTTGAGATGGATATATGAATTTGATTTCTCCGCTGACAGATCCACTCTCTTTTTCTACGTTTACGTCACCAGAAGCGACCAGAGCAGTTTTATCGGACGGCTTGTTCTTTCTATCCAAGTAAACAGAAACATCGATCTTAAATGCTCCAGTTTGCTTCGTTTTCGGCAGATCATATGTGCTGATAACAGCCAGTTCGCGGTTCGGCAAAGTCAAAATCGCAGCTGTCAAAAGAAATAACAAGCAATTTTTAATTTTTCATCTTATCAATCAATTTGAAGATTAAAGTGCATACGTTCTGAGAAAACAGCTTTTATTTTCTCAGAACGTATTAATAACGAAGCTTTCTTACCGCTTTCTTTAGGATGAGCATAAATTTGATAGGAATACTGAGACTTGTCCTTCGACGAATGCAAGTACAAATTGGCGGAGTGATCGAATTTGGCTTCCGTAATTTCGGTGCTGGTCTTTAATCCAAATTCAACTGGCACGTTGAATTTCTTTAGGTCAACTTCCACCGTTATTTGATGGTTCAGATAATTCTTGTCTGTGAAACGAATATAAATTGTATGAAATAACGGTCCTGCGAGAAATGGAATAATCAGAGAAAATGTGAAAAAAAAAATGTTTCTAATAAACTCATCCATTTTTATGTTGTAACACTTTTATCGTACGTGTATGTTTCTTCGATTTTGTGCTTTGCGCTCTTAAAAAATTGTCCTCAAAAATGAGAGAATATTAAATGTAATAAATTATGAAATTATTATCGAGGTAAAATTGAACGATTGAGACCATCGACTAAATTAAGCAATCCTCTCACAAGAGTAAAATTATCATAGAATCATAAAAAATAGACGAACGTCCATTTTATCATAAGTCATCAAAAGATTATAAATATTACTGCTATCATTGGAAACTCATTAGGTTGTCCCATTTGCGCGAGTGTCTCAAGCAGTCCCGTTTGACCTTAATCGCGCGAATTTTATTTCCGTAAACTCTCGGGGCTCGATAAACTCCAACGGCCAAATTGATCCTGAGGGAGGGCAAAAAAAAAAAGACGAAGTAAACTTTTTATCGCGCTATACGTCATCGCGACGTTAGAAAGGATTAAGACGCGTATACGTCAGCGGGCACACGCCCTTGCGGCGTGACGTCATTCCGCAACCGGCGCAACTTATTTTTTTTTCCCTGTATCGCCGTTCACGTATACACCTTTCCCACTACCACCCTCGCTCGACGGTCACGCCTGTCTTCTCGCATCGCAATCCTCGCGACGCGGCGTCTGTCGATTTCGCCCGGTGAAAAAGAAAAAAAAAAAGAAGGAAAAACGACGAAGGAAAAAAAAAACGTTGTACACCCGCGTTAATGCGGCGGCTTGCACCTGCCGCGCCACGCAACCGTCGCCGTGTATAGGGATGCAATTCCGGGGCTCTATTAATAACTGAGGCGAGGCACGAATTAGGCGCAGATCACGCGAGAATAGACTGCTATCGACCGGGATCTCGTAAGCTCACAAGCCCCGGGTGGAAAAGAGGCCTCTCGTCCCTACGCGAAATTCTAACGTACGCGCGGCGTCGGGTTGCGACGTATTGCGCATTCATGCGAAACACACACGCGGAAAACGGAAATGACGGTGCGACGCATTGCCGGACGCAGTCCACCCTGGGGGTTTAATTATCTAGAAAGGACGGATCGGCGAAAATATGGTGCGCCGCGATAAAAATGATTTCCTGGGAGAGAAAGAACGGTGCGTTCGGTGTCTCCGTACTAGCGGGGGTGGCTTATTACACACTTTCCGTCTGCTGTTTTCTTTTTTACATTTTTTACGAATTCAGGCCCGTTGTGACGAAGCGTGTCTTAATAAAGGACTGGTTCGTCACGCAAACCGGGGCGTATCATTGAAGCAGCGTATTTCCAGCATGCCTACACGTTCTTTATTTGTGGAACGCTTTTTATTACGTTATACGCGGCTGAATCTAGATTGTAATTTTTGTTTTATCAAAATTAAACGTGAGTAAGCTAATACAGCAACTTGCTTTATTTTTCTAACTACAAACTTTTTATCAATTTCAAACGATTCAATCTTTTTTCAGTTTTAACAAATAAAAAAAAACAAAAACATAAATGTTGAAAAATGTAAAGCTGCGTAAAAGCGAGTGGAAAAAGTAGTAAAAAGGGGGCGAGATATTTTCATTGAGGTTGCAGAAAGTGGAAAAACAAATTGTATTCGAAAGCTATTTTAGAGATAATTACGTATATGAGCTATTTACTTTTACAATGATTACAACTCTCGTTGCGACCAATTCATCATAAAATTTGACTTACTGTCGGTGTCGTAGCTCGATTGAAGCTTAAAGTGGGCGCAGTCCTTGCTTTGCTCGCAGTAGCTGTTGGAAACCAGGATCTCCTTATTCGAGAGCTTCAGCTCGCCCACGATAGCCGCCGGATCGAACTTGGCGTTCAGGACGATTATCACGCCGACTTCGCCGTCCTTCTCGTGAGTCAATTGCTGGCGAGTATACTTGAAGGAGGAGCTCCTCGTGTTCTCGCCAATTTTGAGGTTGCCGGTTCCTTCAACGGTGATTTTGCCGGCTTCGTCGCGTTTCTTGTAATTCGTGCTACGAATAAATCGCAATCTTTTTTCAGACATTCTTTTTTTCTCTACTGCTCTTTTTGTATAATTGTGTTATATTACTGTTTTATATTGTGTTGGCACAGCATTTTTCTTCTCGAAAATGTATTTCCAGAACAAAAAAAATGTCTATTGCTACTATTATCGTTTTCGCAATGCTCAGCATAAAGTGTTAATTAAACTGTTAATTAAAATTTTTGTGTTAACGAACTTTTTTACTTTTATTCGAAAGATATATAAATTTCTGAACTGGTTTTTATTCCTGGTACTTACACCGCTTTTTACGATAGCGCACGATCAATAATATTCTACATTTTCGACGGAATCGTTCAACTTTCCAGTCCTTATCTGTGTTACGCGATCGAGGGAACATTCGATAGGACAAATAAAAAGAGCTGATAGTTGAAATGTATTCTTGGAAATCGCTTGAATTAATTTTAGCGGGTGAATCGATGAAATTACACGGCGAGGTGAAGCGATGAAGAAGGCTCCTGTATCTTTGATCTCCTTTAAAAATGACCTCGTGCCCTTTCGCTAATTGCAGGAGGACATCTTTACTCTTTGTTTTGTTGCCGCGTAGGCGATCGATCTTTTACTTCTTTTATGTACGCGCAGGAATTGCGTTCGTATCGCCGTTCGGAAAACACCGTTTAGAATTGCGATGGAAATATCGATTTTTTTAACAGAAGCGAGCGGAATGTGTAGGATTGTTAGTGGAATTCAAGAGGGAAATGAGCTCCAAAATCACCGTCTTTTAACTTTAATTCTGCCTTTTCGCGCTCGTAAATTGTTTTTCATCCGCGTAATTGTTGGCCATTGTGAAAGATATCTTATAGGGGCATCGTCTGGCATTGTCACGCGATAAACTCAATATATTTCATCGCCTTTACATACCTTCCGGTCACGATATTCTTGCCGTCGCTGGTGACGGTGATAATTATTCTCTTGCCGGCCTTAGCAGTGGGCTTATTAGCGATTTCGGCGTGAATCTTACGGTGCTTGAGCTTGTCGCTGTCCACATTGATGTCGATGACGAAATTCTCGACGCTCTCCAGATTGACGTGTGCATCGGCATTGGCGAAGCCGTACGGCGTCTCGACCTTCCATTCACCTGAGAACAAAGGCACGAAAGATCGTGTGTTATTCGAAGAAATAGAGAAATGCAATTTTATATTTTTTCGTTAAACCAAATGTATTAAAAAAAATAAAACAACTAAGAAAATTTCTGTTTACAGCGCAATTCTGTGCGAATTTAAAGTTACCTTTGTACTCCCGATCGCCAAGTTTCTCAAATTTGGAAAGAATTTCGGTCTTTCCTTTCGGACAAGTGATAATTATGTGGATGAGCGGAGAGACATCGCTGGTTCGAATCTCGCTCTGAACTGTGTACTTCGCATCGTCAGCGCTGATAGCCGCGTTGGTCTTCCTTACCCGTCCATCCTTTCCTCTCTTTAAGAACAAATAAAAGCGATATTGAATGCGTGTACTAAAGAGATAGTGTGCTATTACGCGGCAATTTCGTCGGGCGTTATAAACTTTATTTCGCCTTTAAACAGCCGTGGAGTCGTAGGAGTTCACTGTTATAAATGACGCGGAATTTCGAGGAAGCGGGATAAGAATAGCGCAATATATTTGCGCAAAATTCAGGTGGAAATACGGTCGAATACGGCGATTACACAGGTATAAAAAAATAATTAAAAGCAAATAATAATTAGTCGAACGTTACCTCGTGCTTGAGTTCCAGGTCGATATTACGCAATTTCTCGTACGGAGTACTAGCCTTGGCCTTTAGGTCAACGTGCGTGAGATCGCGATCGTATATGAGGGGATCGACCGTGATTTTCACTTCTTTCTCGCCGCTGCTCACAGCCGTGTTGCGAACAATCTTCACTTTGCCGTCGGCAGGCTCGTACTTAAGCTGATCGTGAATAGTGATAGGCGGGTTCTTCAACACCGTCACAGTGAGCTTCAGATCATGATCGTAAGGATGCTCGTCATCGAAAATTCCGGAGCTCTTCAGGCCGCCGTCGAGCTTGATCGTTTTATCGTTGTTATAAGTGAGCGTCGACGATCCCTGCAGATCGAACACTTCATTCTTCTCACCGCCCAGCAGGCTGGTCTTATAATCGTATTTGATGTTGTTCAACTTTTCGAACGGCAATATCAGTTCGACGTTGCCGCTGCACGTGCAAGGCTTGCCGGGAACGTAGTTTACGGAGCTCTGCAAACGACAACATAGATTTACGCATTTGATTCATTAGATAATTAGTATCTTTGAATTTTTCAATTTAAAAAATTATTTTCCTTACCTTCAATTGGATGTCCTTGCGCAAGGAGGAAGCGATCTCGCCCGACACCTCACCATTATCGCGCTCTTTCGACTTGTATTGCAGAGTGAGCGGTTCCGATAGTTTTGTTCCCGCAGCTTTCAGATCGATTTCGAATGATCTCTTGTTACCGTCGGTTGCGCGCAAGTTTTTAAGATCGAGATCGATCTGCACGTTGTCGCCGTTGTAATTGACGGCTTTCAGTTGATTCTTTATATGGAACGTGCAGGCCTTGAAGTCGACGTTCTCGCCGTCGCCGACGTACGTGATCTTTTGCGACGGGCCGTCTTTGGATTCGCGATGCTCCAACTCGGTGTTCACGTGAATATTGTACTTCTCGTTCTTCTTGGCGGAGGTGCGCTTGAGTCTGTAAACTACGTAATGGCCGTTCGGCAGAGTGAAGTCCACGTCGCCGGTCAGCTCGCCTTCCTTAATCGTGCCCTCCAGCTTGCCTTTGCCGTTCAGCTCGAACTTCTGATCCAGCACCTCGATCACGTTCTTCGAGTCGATGGCGTTCTTCTTCACGTCGCTCACGGTGGACAGTTTGATGCGTTTGCTCGGGTCTTTCTCCGCGTCGAGCAGAAGCTCGAAGTTGGCGGTGTGCTGCGTGCCGACGGTCACCAGGTCGCCGGTACCCTTGATCTTTCGATTGATCTTCGGTAAATCGATGTTGAGCTGAGCGTTACCCTTGCCGTCCTGGATCGCCGCCTGTCCGACAACGTTTAGATAATTTTTGATATTCAAGTTCAGGTTGCCGTGAGGATTGTCGCCTTGTCGCACCGCCTTGAGCAGGAAATCGATATATTTGACGTCGTTGACTGTGACGTACGCGCGGGACTGGACATTTCCGACGCGCTCGGCGTTCAAGCTGCCGAAAGCTTTGACCTTCTTGCCGTTCAGATTCAGATCGCCGTCAACCTCGAAGTTGAGGTTCTTATCGCGATTGCACGTGACGAGCACTTCGCCCTCGTACTTGCCTCCCGGAGTAAGCTCGACTTTGTTCTTGTACTTGCTCTTGTGCGGATCGATCGACGTACGCTTGGACTCGAGTTTGATGCTGTTCTGCAGGAGTCTGGCCTCAAATTCGACCTCGTAGTTGCCCGGCTTGGCCACGTCCAGCTTGGCGGACAGATCCGAGCCGAACTTGAACTTGTCGTATACGATGTCTATCTTCTCATCGACGGAACTCGGCGTGAGCTTGCCTTCGAGATCCAGTTTCAGCTTGAGCGCGGGATACGAGATCTTATTGTGTCCGCCCACGACGAAATTCGCGCCCTTCTGATTCGGCTTGGCGATGACGTGTTGCTTGAGGGTGAAGCGATTGACTTCGGACTCGAGATCCGGGCCATGGACGAAGTCCAGATTGTTCTCGAGCTCATATTGATCCTTGCGGAATTCCCAGTCGACTTTGAAGCCCGCGTTGGGATTCTTCGTCGGCAGCGCCGACAGACTGATCGTGAAGTGACGGTCGCCCAGTTTCTTTCCTTGTTCCTTCACGGCGATGGATTCATCGCCGTAATTCACCTTGATATCGACACTACCGGCGTCCTTCGTCGTTAGGACGTAGCCGTCAATACCGATGAGCTTGTTGCCGCCGCCGACCAGCGCTACTTTATCGAACACGTATTTCTTGCCGCCATCCTGATCGACCGCCTCTACGCTACCTTCCACGTTATACTGCTGCTTACCGCGCTGAGATGTTTTCACTCCGTATTTCGCGTCCGCCAGTTTCTCGATGTGCTCCGGTACGTTGTACTCCAAAACGGGTTTGTACTTGGCACCGTCGGTCAAAAGGCCGACGCGCGCGTAATAGTCTTGATTATCGTTCAGCGCCTTGAGCGCGAGCGAGCGCTCTTGATCGTTGTTTTTCAGTCGCGCCTCGATGGAGGCTTTCTTGAACGGGGAATCGAGAGACAGTTTGGCGTATTTGTCGGGCTCGACACCAGCTTCGCCGGTGAACAATATGCGTCTGTTTGTCTTGCTGTTAGGCGTGTCGAACAAGATCTCGAACGATCGGGACTTTGGCGACTTGTCATGGTAGAACTTCAAATGAACAGCGGATAGGTCTTCGTTGTGCAAATCGACACGGATCTTCGCCGGGCCGTTCAGAGGGTAAAGGGCCCGCTTCTGGATCGAATCGAGGCCGTAAGGCAAGTCCACGTAGACGCAAATAGTTTGGCCTGTAATTGGATGCAATTGTTCGAAGCAATCATCGTATTGCTTGCCTTTGCTGAATTTCGGAGCCTTGTACGCATCGCCGGAGCTCAATAAAATTTCGCTGCTCACGCTCACTATATTTTCCTTCTTGCTTGGTGCGCCGATGACTATATCGATACCCTTACCGTCCAGTAATTTCACCGAGACATCGGTCGCCGTGTCGGTGTGCAGCGTGCTGACAAGCTTCATGCCCGACTCCACGTCGAATCCTTTGACGGCGATGGTGCCGGCGACTCGAATGGCAGCACTGAGCGCGGTATTGTACACAATATCGGCGCTCTCCGGATTTTTCATGATAGCCGGAATGTCCAACTTGCCGTTTGCCTTCGCGTTAACCACGCTAGTTCCGACTACGCTGAGAGTCAGCGTCGTGCCGAGATTCGTCGGATAGACGAGCTCCGCGTCGAGGAACTGCAGATTATTTCGCACATTATGATCGAACTTCTTCGCCTTGTCGAATCCCACCTCGATGTTCTCAAATATCTTGTCGATGATGTGCTCTGGCGTCAATTGCGTGGGATTGCCGTCGTACGTGAGGTATGCCAGTTCGGCGCCGAACAGCTTGATGGACACATCCAAATCGAACTTGTCGTCCACCTCGTTGCTCCTCAATTTCACACCTTTAGCGAATTTGTCGAGTTCTCCCTGTTTGACTTCGCGCTTGCCGCGCAGTTTGTTGACCCGCTCTTTAATATGCTTCGCGACAGTTCCTACTTTCTCAATTCCACTCACTATTATATCTTCCGGATTGTCTTGCTTCAGCTGGCTCTTAGGTCCGAAATAGTGCTCGATCAATCTATCGAGATTCTCCACACGCGTGTTGAGCTCCAAGAAGTTGAAAGATCGTCCGAATACCTCAGCGGTCAAATTCAGATTTACGGAGCGTGGCACGAAGCTGTTCTGGCTGTAGATGACGTTGCTCTCTGTAGTGGAACCGACTCCGAGACCGCCCACGTTGTACGACAGTTCGTTGTTGAAGGAGAACTTGCGGAAGTCCTCCGGGAACCTCTTTCGCGACTTGATCAGACCGAGCTGTCTCTTCGTTTCCGCTTTGTTCGGATCGGCGGAGGCTCGCAGATTGCGCAAGTGACTCTGGATGAAGGATCCCACTTGATTGACCGTCTCCTTGTCCAACAATTCTTTGAGGTTGCTGGCGACGTGCGGGCACGGGCAGGCGACGAGGGACAGGTAGCTCTTAATCCTGATCTCGCTGTCTTCTTCGCGATCAGCCAAAATTTTCAGAAGGTTGTTCTTCCACTTCATGGAGCAGCGAGTCGGTAGAGATTCGATGGCCGCCACTCTGACTCGATTGCGAACGTTCTTGTCCTCGGCGATGCCGGCTAATTTTTGCAGAGTTCCGTCATCGAGGAACTGAGCGTTGCCGAGTGCCTTTAAGGCCGCGACGATGAGATTCTCCTGCTCTCTGCTCTTTGCCTTTCCGTTGCCGACTTTCTCGCGTATCTTCTGGATCGCCTGCTTCACTTCGGGCACGTTCTCGCAGGTGTGCTGCTGACAGTACTTGCCGATCACTTGGCCGACTCCGAGGTAGCCGAGACGTGGCAGGTTCGGCTGATCGAGGAGAGAAGTGATGGCGGTTACCGAAGGCAAATGAACGTGAGAGATGAGACCAAGACTGGCGTAGAACTCGAGAGCCTTCAAGCCGGTGAGCTCGCCGCTCTTCACAAGATCCGCGACCACCTCCGCGGCCTCGCTGCTTCCGGCGCGGAATAGAGCGCTCAGGAGGATCTTCTTGTCGTGAACCTTGTCGAAGCCGGCGCCGGCCTTCGCCTTTTGATAGATCGCGACGATATCATTCTTGTTGCTGAGACGAAGGACCTTGATGAGCTCCGCGAACTTCTCCGCTGCGTTGTCTTTCACTCTGTCTTGCTCCTCGGCGCTCGCGGCCTTCAGCGCCGCGGCGATGCTGTCGGCCGACGACTTGATGACGGGATGCGGTGCCTCGAAGATCAATGATTTCGGCAGGCTGACGGGCGCGTTCGGACTATCGCCTTTCTCGCCGTTGAGCGTCAAAGTGGTTTGCACGACCGTCTTAACGCCGAGATCGCCATTGCTCCAGGGCTTCAGCTTGTAAGTTTCGACCGAGGTCGCCTTGTTCAAGATACCGCGCTTGAAGCGCTGCTCGATTCTCTGGTGCGACGACAGCAACGGAGCCGACTGAATGTCGGAATTCTGATCGTAAATCGCGGATACGGGACCGTGTCGGATGCTTTCGCGGTGGGAGCAGCGGGCCAGATTCCTCTCCTTTTGCACGACCAACGAATCGCCGTCTTTGTGAAAATTGAAGTCGGTCGGACAGCCACCGAGCACGTCGATCTGAAAGTTTAACGAACGACGCGTACGTTATACATCCGCTGTTATTACGTAGTTCCTTACTGAGATAAACTTTAATGGAAAACGAATCAGTTCGATTTATACCTCGTGATGAGTCGTAGAGCCGGATTCTTGGAAGACGGCTGACTGGAACAACGAGGCGACAGCTCTCTTAATGTTGAGAGACGCCTGCGAGTCGCCGGCTTCGGCACAGACCTCCGCATCGATGTGACCGTCATGGTAGTTGAATTGCAGCGCATGTTTTTCAACATCTGGCAGCGATATCGGCTAAAAAATGGCGTGCATATTTTTTAATATTTATATGAAATAAAAATACCGCACGCTTGTTTATTATACAACAGAATCGAAATCAAATTTTCACAGAGAGAAGAGAGGAAAAAAAATATTCGTATCAAAAGTCTATAATATTTAGGTTCTGCAGGTAACGAAATTTTATGTTACATTCTGGTGATGTAAAACACATTAATTTCAGCTGAGAAAAGTTTTGTTTAATTAAAAGTTTTTACTACCGGGAGTTTATAACTAACGGGATTAAATTAAAAGTTTCTGAATGTTTTTGAAAAAGCCACGAAATCACACCTCCGTGTCTCATATTTCTATCCCAGCTCGTACTCGTACGATCCGCTAATATTCCTGTACAGATTTATTTTGTGCAACATTTGTGGCGTGAATTTTTTATGCAGGAAAGCGCGAGATAAGGGTGATACTTACGGCGCCATTGATTTGCACGCCCTTCAATCGGATCTGCCGAATGCAATCAGGCTTCGCTGTCAATTCAACGATACCCTTCAGCTTCAAGGTAGCGTCACCCTGAGCTTCGGGAACCGTCGTTACGGACGTTCCTTCCAAATCGTATATATATGTATGTCCTTCCTGATAGGCTTTACCTCCGTGCACTGAAAAAAATTACACGAAAAAAACATTTAAGTTAAATCCAGAAAAGACCCACTTGATTTGATTAAGAATGCAAAACTAATCTACTTTTACTTTAAATAAAATTTCCAAAGTTTGAAAAAGATTGTGGCAAATTAGAGATTCTTTATGAATTGCTGATCTAAATATACTTACATCCATGGCAGCCGACTGTACATTTACCTGTAACGAGAGAAAAAAAATAATGTGTTAATTTCTAGCAGTAACTTAAAAAAAAAAAAAGTATATATCTAATATTAATTATATTAATCATTAAAGTAACAAAAAATAAATAATTAAATACGAGTATATAGAGAATACTTACACGTTTGTTTCTTATGATACAGTAAATGACAAAATTATTGTCTCACATACTTAATTTAATCTCGCTTTAACTTTCAAATTTTATCGATAAACCGGATTTGAGCAAAGAGAAAACAGACGGTTATAATCTATTATGCTCGACGCAGATTATTTTCAGAAAAAAAAAAGATATTTATGCATCGCGAGTGAACTCGTTGCGGAGGGTCGAGCGCTGATAACGTGTTGTTAATCGTGACTCTCTTGACCCTGGACCATGGAACTTTCATTTTTGTTCGATAGAGCGGGTCGGTACCCGCGAACCAGCGGTTTAATGGTGTGTACCACAATAGTTTCACCCTTTAACATTTAAATGGAACAAAGTGACTTTTCGCACGGGAGTTATAAAAGGGAACATATCAATCAATTGTATAAAAGCTTGTTGTAATTTGACATTTGCATCATGCTGCTTTCACTCGGCCAAACTTTCAATTTGTACGAGTTTTAAATTTTTATTGTGTTTAATTTAATTTTATTCGCCATTAAATATTTTTCTAACATTTATATATTTTATAAATTGTGCGAAATATTTGAACTACGTTGTAAAAAAATACTGAAAAGTATTTAACATTGATGTTTGTCAATGCTTAGTACAGGCTTTTATCTTTAGCCGTAATTTCACTTTATCTCGTTTACATTGGAAAAATAATATCGATGGCAAAATTCATAGTTCATAAACATGTAAGAGATAAATATAATCATTAAGTTTACGCGCATGGAAAGTCTTATTTTTTACAAAATGCTGATTGTACAACTTTATTAAATGAGATAAATTATTAAGAGTTGATGCGTTCTATTAAAGATATAATTTTTGTATCAATGTTTTTCAGATAAACTGTTTACCGAGTTACCAATATAAAGAAATAACGGATGTCTACTGGGCGGAAGTTTATAGTTCACAAACACAGCAACTATTGCGAAAACATCAATATTAATTTTGCTGCATAGAACACGTACATCTGTTTTACAATTTGTATTTAGAATTCTTCGTATTTACCAAACAAATGAATGTTGTAGAAGTTTATTATTAAAATTTCATCAATCGCTAAAAATATATTTAACGTAAAGAAATCTTGTTAAGAACAGATTATGCGAGCTGGTTAAATGTTATTCAATATTATATCAAGATTAATCAAAATGAAAAACAAGCACATCAAAATCTGCACTTTGCGCCGAGAGTTGCATAATTATTTGCTCAACCAAGAGATTGAGTACAATCAAACGCACGATTCGGCGAAAATTATCTTCTCTTTGCAAAACCAAATAAGTAACAAAAATTAAAATCAAAACGACTTGCCGACCTGCAAAAAAAATATATATTTGCAAAAAGATATGTAAAAATATATTTTTTTTGGACATAAAAAAATATAATTTTTGTACATAAAAAATTATATATTTTTTTTGTACATATCTTTTTGCAATCTACAAGTCGTTTTGGTTTTAATTTCTGTTACTCATATATATATATATAAGTTTAACTACTTCTACACGACTCTAATCGTTTCTAATTGAGGAAAACACTAATTATCATATGTATTGTATATATATTTATTTAGTGTTTTCCTTTAAACGATTAGAATCTTGTAGCGGAAGTAGTTAAACTTAATCGTCATAATTTGCATTCGCAAAATATATGTGAATATAAAGAAGCGCTATTAAGAATCTTTTATTACTGTTATTGCAAAAGGAACGCGAGGCAATCTTCTTTATGAGCCGGACGAGTAGTTTGTTTTTTCCTAGAGAAATAATACAACCGAATAATACAACTTGTTCTTATAATGAACAAGAATATACGGACTGTATTTTATTTAAACATTAACGGTATAAAAAAAGAAAGGGGTGAAATAACAGCGCGACCGAATAAACGAAGAGAAAAGGAGATGGATGAGATGTAGCAAGAGAAAGGGGAAGCGTTCCTTCAATGGGGACAAAGGGATAACAAAGGGATAAAGAACGACGTATACGCAAAGAGGAGGTGGGCAGAGTGAGAGTCTCGAGAATAGACAAAAAGAAGGGTGAATCTATTCGGTGAAGCTGTATATTGTTTCTCCGCGATGATACCGCGAATGCCGGCGATCAATTTCCCTCCCCTAATTGCCGTCACTTTGACGGCAATCTACAGGCTCGTCGAAATATTCCTGCGGCGATTCCTCTCTCCGTTATTACTGGACCGTAACCAGACTCTCACGTTCCATTCGACAGAACGTGCGATAAAAGAATTTTTTTCAACTTGTATTAAAACTTTTGCTCCTTTTGATTGCTTTTTTTTTCGCAGGGGGATTATTTGTGGACTCTTTCGTTAATTTGGAGCCGAATTTTTCATAGCAACAATCGAGATGTTTGTAGATTTTAATTAAGTTAAACGTTTCGCAAACTTACTTTTTCAAAACTCATAAAAATTTTATTTCTTTATTTCATGTCATGTAAATTTAGATAGATTTTAGTTTAATTCGAGATTTCCTACGCGAAAAAATATGTGATATTAAAAATAAGGAAAAATATTTATTTTTAAATTTCTATTAAAAAGAAATTAGTTAAACATGTGTATAAATCTCTAGAATATGATTTGTTAACCAAAATCGTGATTACACTTCTGAAACGTTACATCATTTATAATGCAATGTCGCGATGCAAATATGCACAACATAAAATTTACCATTTCGTTCCAAGATTCTCGTCGAGATTTTGCTGTAATCTAACAATTGCAACCATAATTTCTCGCGTTCCCCTAATGCGCGTGGCACGATTAGGGATGCTCTCGTTGTATTACTTAAGCATACGTATTATGCAAATTCACGGCGAATGGCAAAGTATCCACTTTCATGTTTCATGCTCAGGGGCGCTGTATCCTTCTCGGCATTATTTTATGCCGCATTTAAACGTCGATCTTTCTCTTCGATGATCCCCTATTTTCTGCTCGTATTTTTAACCCGACAATCGCGCTTCCATTTCTCACAAGCGCGCTATTGTAATTATTTATCACAGAATTTAATGCACCGTCAATAGCCGTTGAGTGACTTGATATAGCGCGAGATGTTACGTTTAAAGAGAAATTTATATGAAAACGTCCATCTCTCTCTCTCTCTCTCTCCTTATCGCGCGCGGCTTCTATTTCCTGGTGTTTCTGGAGATACGATGCAACCATGGCTGAAGCAATTGGAAAACGTATCGTCAGCGGAAAAGTGGCGATTGCAATTGGACTCTATTCGATGCCATTTTGCTCGATCGAGCAGCGGTGAGAGAAACCTGGGCTGCTTATATTCCCTTTACGTACTTTAAAACGCGGCGATGTGTGAAAGAACATTTGTTACGGCGCAACGGCCAGATCGGATCTATTTTACTGGGATGTAGGGACGTCGGATCAATTTACCAAATGTCCGGTCAAACACGGGGGACCTGTAATCGTTTCAATGATACGGGCCTCGTTCCAAGCACCGATACGTCATATACGAACTCTTTAACTATTATTTTGTTACTTCTAGAACGTGCAAGAAAACTCCGCGTTCACACATCACGTCGAATTCTATCCCTGTAAATTTTACTAATTATTTTCCTTATTGACGAAAAGCATTGGCATGTAATCTTACATGCAAATCATGTTGTAAGCAGATAATAAGCGACCGTTATACATTCTACTGATTAATTTATTACATATGCATTAATATGCGCTAATGCACTTGATTATTCTCAATTAGCTTGCACATCGATCAAAGGGAAAAAAATATGAAGACACATGATAAAGCGTTATCAGCAATACAGCGCTGTAAAGAATGTCCCATATCGTTCGGGAGCACAAACATAAAATCGGTTATTGTAACTGCAGGATAAATAATCTTTTATCACCAACTCCGTGCCGGGAGAATAATATTTGTAATCACTTGGCGGCTCATATATATTCACGCTTATCCGCTCGAAATTTCTGAATATATTTGTTAATCAATGAACATGCTGTAGCGTACCCTGCGTTCGTTAAAGTTAAAATGTTTACTAGGAAAATGCAATAAACAGTTAGTTGAAATCTGGCCTCTTCTGTATTTACTATATAATCAGAAAGTAATTTTCCTTAAATTTTTTTAATAACAAGAAAGTTAAACACAATCAGCCGCTGATAGCAAGCTTTGCTTCGTTTAACATAAAAGTACGAGGAATTGCGATTTTGATTAATCAAATTTTAAAACAAAACGTAGTATAAAGTGGAAAATAACAAATCAAGAACATAAATAAAACCTTATCAATGAATGAATTACGCAGCAAAGGCGGGAAAAAGGAGCAAAAGAGTACGGAAAAACAATACTTTACCTCGTTATTATATTTGAAAGAAGTTAATACAAATCTAACGCGGCTACGTGATAAAAGATAAATTTTTTTTAAAATGTGCATCAAACATAATTTAAGGAAAAACATTTCGACATTTTTTATCGACCGCGCTAATAACGATAAACCAACGATAAAATTTCACGATTTCCCGAAATCCTACCAAGAATATCATCAATTTCGACATTTATTCGCGATAATTTTTATCCTTGACACAACGAATAACCTTATGATATTCAAACCTGACCGTGCTCAGCACATTGACCCTTTCTATCAACTCGCGCATTAATCTTTAATTTGATACAAAAATTAAGATTCATCAAAGTCATCCGGTCTTCTTGAAAGATTCGTTAGACATAGCTCAAATCTTTGTGTCTGGATATTAGAAAAACAATTTTGATACAAAGAGATGAGGTTTCATCAACTTTTTAGGACTATCAGAAATTCAACGAAGATTCATCCAAAATTCGTTTATCAGTTATTAATTTGAAAGATCAGTTATTAATGAGAGAAAAAAACCATTTTATAAATGGCTATCCTAAAAATTTCAATTTTTGGAAAGGATAAGATTTAATTTAACGCTGTCATAATGTTTCGTTGCAATTATAATTAAAATATTAATTATAAAATAATATGCGCGCGATATTATAGAAATTAATTTTACTTTTTACTTCGTATTTAAGATAAAATTGTTCGAATAAGCAACTCTACAGAATAATGATATTATTTTGTACTAAATTAATGACATATTCTTAGATATTGTGTTAACTGTGCTATAGCAATTTATTTTAATTAATTCTTCATTAATCAATAAAAACATTTATAAAAAAAATTTATGCTTGAAAAAGCAATATTTCGGAATCCGCATGTGAAAAAATGCGAATATTTTTCTACTTCTGCTTTTGCTATATTTGTATGTAAAAATTGCGATATTAAAGTTGAAAATTTTTGCGTTTTTCCATCAATAAAATTCGAAAATCCTGAAATATCGTTTCATGCACAAAATTTTTCCTCTACATATTTATTTAGTGTTTTTCCAAGATATAATTAGAACTTTCTAAACTTTTATCATATTTCTCGTTTAGAAAAATAAATCGAGCCTTTGCCCTCACAATTTTCATATTTCTCTAGTTATTGAAGAAGAGCGCACGGCAGCCTCGTCGCACGTGCAGCCTCTCCAAAGAGTAGGGCACGAAGTACGGAGTACTTTGCAGAAAGGGATGAGATAGCAATGTAGTAGCATTTTCTGCTTTACTTACTCGCTGAGGCGTCGACCGCCAGGAAGAGAAGGAGACAGCCGGCGAAGACGGCCGTCTTCGCGAGCCCCATGGCTTTCTTTTTCCCCCCGGATACCGCAAACTATTTAGCACTACTACTCGCACAATCAGCGGTGACACGATCGGCGGCCACGGGCGAACACGACAAAAGCGTCCGCGCTTTTCTTCGCGGCGGCTTTTATGCTCTCGCTGCTCCCCCACTCGAAATCTTTCCTATGTCATGTCAACGTTCATACGTATGTCCGCTCATAGCCGGTTCCCGTCATCTCTGTGATACGCAGGAGATAAAAAGATCCACGACACGAGGGAGAGCGATCGAGAAAGCAAGAGTTATCGAAATTTTCCTCTGACATCCATGGTAAATACATGAGACAAATTCTCGAAACGGACGCTATTTAGATCAAATCTAACCACCCTGTAAAGCGCGACTTATCGTAAAACAACAGTTCGTTTCCTGTCACTGTCTCTCCCATCACTGTTGTTTCCTGTAATGCGCTTATTAAATATATTTATAAAGTAACTTTCTCATTTTTTCTTTGAAAACGTAAATTTAACGTTAATTTAATCTCATAAATTTAATTAATAATATTTACAATGCTTTGACAATTATTTATATAAAAAAAGAATAATGGACAAAATTCAATAGATTTTGTATTGAATCATATATTACTTGTTGTCTTGTTGCGATTGATCTTTCTTTATCTAACAGATGTTGTATGATTTTTCTGCCGCATTTAGGCTGAATTTCTGCATTAATCAATTCAAAAAATTATATTTACGATTTTTTTTTGAAAAAATGTTTTACATCATTTTCTTTGTTTCGTATATCATACCGTTATCTTGTTCACAAAGGAAACCCTTTGTCATACTTCCTCTATAGATTCGTTAAAATTTTTGATAATTCCAACATATTTTCTTCAATATTGTTCATTTTATATATTAATATTGAATTAATAATTTCAATTCAAGGAAAATAGTTCTTCGTAATGCTATAATTAAAAAAAAGTTTTAGATCAAAATTGCGTAGGCGTTTGTAACTACATTACACGTGCGTTTTATAAGCACAAACCAAACACGTGTTATATGAAGAATTTGTTTCGTAATTGCATACACATTATGATATCTTTCTCGTATACTGATATCGTTGTTAGTTTTCGCTAATCCCTTGAAAGAGTAAAATACTTGAAACAATGTGAATTCGTTAAACGCTTTTGATGTTAGAAATTTGTGGCGATATGTTACGCTATTATTATCAATTACTGTAAAATAGCCAGGGGCCCACTTAGTTTTATTATATTCAAGACAGAGTTTTAAGAAAATAATTGCAAACAGATGGATGCTTACGAAAATCTTTACTCAACGATCAAATATAAGACCTTTTTGGCGCATTTTTTTCTTACTCAAATATGATCTACATTACAAATGCGCTACATTTTCACATTTTTTACTTAAATTATTTCCATAGGACAATAAAAAATTGTGAAAAATGCTGAAACATAATTTCGCACAGTTTTGCACAATTCATATGTTAAAATATTAGTAATGTAGATAAATGTTATCAAAAACATACACACAACGATTTTTCGCTTTTATTTGCGTTTACATTCCACTTGCATCGTGATTTTTTATCTAAATCAGTATTTTTTAATTTCCAATTGATATAACTCAGCATTATTCTGCAGACTTTGATTGACCCGCAAAGGAACAAACAACTCTTATTTATAAATTGCTTGTAAATTATTTATAAATTATTAGTATATAAGTTGTTCCTTAATCTGTATTTTTCGTATAAATTTAAAATATAATATCATAAAGAGTATACAAGCTTAATCGCTTATATAATAATTGCAAATAATATATTATTAAATCTGAAGTCTGGCTGCATAAGGAGATACAGAAGTATAAAGGATACATATGCGCATCATATACGTACATATGCTTATAGATTTTTCCATCAGTTGGGCCAAGAAGATTTTCTGATATTTAAGACGGTTCTGGCAATTATTTCTACCCGTTGCATCAATTTCGCAGATCAAAATATGTAAGTCACTCACTTGGGTCGTGATTAAAAATAATAAATATCGATTATCTATTTAATAACTGCAAAATATTGTAACTTTTTTAAAATGACTTTGATATCGGCGTGTACTGCGAGTATAAAAAATTACATCCATTTCATGGAAATGAGTCCACTATGATATCGCGTTATCATGAATGACGATAGAAAAGCAAGCAGTAAAACTGTTTTGTGGTGATAGTAAAAAGAATGAACATGGGACAGATTCAGATCAATTATCAGTGTACATATCAGTGCTATCTCATAATGCTTCTTAGATTTTGAAGATAGTATTCTGTTGTCAATCTGTATAGCGATATTTAAACAACAGTTCAAAAATTACAACATTAAATTTTATTTTCAGGATATCTGGATACGGAACTTTAGAACTTGTGACAGTTAAGCGAGTCAACAGCAAGATATCGAACAAGAGAGAAAGAGACTTGTAAAAAAAATAGAGTAAGATATATGTATATAGTGTGATAGTTGCGCCCAGTTAACAGACCTCTGCTCTAGAATAAATTAACAAGATTAAGCTAAAAAAGGCTATTGTTTCCATGTCAAAGCATTAACAGCTGTGATGTTTATTACTGAGACGTCAACAACTAGAGATATTTGTTTAGAATTTCTGCCACACTTTAAAAGTTCCTGCGTATTAAAGTTATATATTCTTGAAATATATATGATAGAACTTTGTTAATTAATTTGAATACTATTCATTTATATTATTTTAATTTAATTATTTTAATTATTATTTAATATTATTTCAATGCAGATTTAATTGCTAAGGCATTTAATCTTAATAAATAGAAATTTACAATGAATAATGTTCTGCGATTAAATTATTGTTAATACAAAACCAATACCAAATACCAAATATATTATTCAATTTACAGCTTAAATAACGTTCGATAATTTTATAATACAATTCATTATTAAATCAAAATAATTAATTTACAATTGCGTTTGTACAATTATATTAAATGTCGTTTGCATTGCAATATTTCTTTCATCTGCTGTTAAACAGAAAGTACGCTTTTTGCTGTACTACATCACAATTTTAACAGATTTGTATATTTTAAAATTAGTGATTTGAAAAAAAGAACATGTAAAAGTTATAATTTAATAACATAAAACAGATTTGTATTATGCTTGATAAAATTAATAAATAAAAAAGAACCGACAAATGTAATGTCGGGGAGAAAATTTATTTCGGTGATATTCGCCTTTCTATATGCACCGGCTTTTTAGTTTTTAGATGAGGAGAACTCTATCTCTGACAGTGAACTCTGCTGATCTCTCCGCTGATCTTTATCGATCTGCATCAATTTTTTATGCAGCGGCGACTAAACAGACATCGCACTGCGATGATCATCGGTGCATACATGAATATATATGTTATATCATTGCCATTCGCACGAGATGACACGAGTACGTCGACGGACATAGACTATCGATTTATATAGAGTTCATTCCACTTTTTTTTGGAGAGGGATCAACGGTCACCGAGTTATCAGGCTTAAATTATCTGACAAACTTGTAACTAACATTGGCAGCTGGTGGCTGGCGACGGATCGATGACGAAGAACATAAAATCGCACACATCGGGAGCGCTAGGTGGAAAAGGGTGGGTGGAAAATCGGACGCAGGATATTCAAGCCGCTCGCTTTAAATAAATAAAATGTAACGTCAGTTTTTTCTTCTTCTCAACATTCCAGTTGTTTTCACAGAACTTCCGGGCTACCCGACATAAATCACAGCCGACGCAAACAATACGAGGGAAAAGTATTTTCTTAATGCGAATGTTCCGAATCTCTGGCGTCCTATTAATCTGCTCACCCTTTCTACTTAGGATTCCGTATTTTAGTATTATGAGACACGCCCGTTCCTTCGTGTTGTTAGAACCCACATAAATTATAAACGCACACAGCCTCTTGTAGAAAATCTACGTCGTCGATTCGTCTTAACCGCACTATGCCGGATGTTAGATATTCATTGTGGAATTATCAATCATGAGTTCATTATAACTATGAGGTCAACAGATGAGCCACAAGCGTTCTCTTTACGTTCGTCGGAAGTAGATCGAGAGAATTCTGTTTTTAACATATTATTTTCTGCAAGTTTATCCGTTTCATCCCCTGAAAATAACATGCCTCGCGCGCGTTGCCACGTCGATTCTATAATCGACGGCGGCAAGTTAAAATTGTTGTATGTTATTTACGTCCACGTTACATACTAAAGCGAAATTGGTAAATATTGATACACATGCACACCCCAGTACTTTCCCGAGATGCTATTTCATTTAGCTATCGGCAGCAATAATTTTCACAAATGCATTTCCGCCACTGATATCTAGTCCAAATTAAATTCACCGATGCAAATGCTTCAGACATGATCGATAATCGCCTACATCCTGTAACAGTTTTGCAAGATTGATTAAATAAGGTCAGAGTAAATTAATCGTGTTATCTTACATATTTCTACATTTTTATTTTCGCACTCGTCAAAATATAATTAACAAATATCCAAGTTTTAATTTGATAAACACCTAAGTTTTTCCAATTGATAATTTTTAATCATTCCACATTACGATATTGCTATAAATTGTGCTATTTTGAATTGGAGAAGGTTTCACTATTTTCGCAGAATACAAACATTCCGATTATATGAACTTTAAAGAGTATCAATACTGAAGCGGACGGGCCAACGAGCACGATGCAATCTATCGTTCCTATCATCGTTCCCCAGCAAAGTTTACGGCCTCTATTGATACGCAATCATGTATGTGCTTGAATATGCTTGAGCGCATCGCGAATGTACGACCTGCAACAGCGAAAAGCTTCAATTGACGTAGACCTTCGATGTAACAGTTTCATTTCAATCGTCAATTTTCAGTTGGGAAATCCTTGGAAATTTGCGTCAGCATGTAATTCTGGAAATCTGAATTTATCTGGATTATTTTTTTATAATAGAATAGATATATCGTAATAAATAATCATTAAAGAAATATTGTTAAACAAAATTAAATTTTTTTAAATATTCTTAACTTACCTGTTTTGTTAACGATAATAGAAAAATGTTAAACGATTATTTAGTAAATTTACACGATGTCAATAATCACATTTCAACATAAAATTACTTTAAATTACACATAATAGTACAAAATTGATACAAGCATGTTATTATTTTTTAAAAATTATGTTATTTTACATGACTTGTAAAAATATATATTTTCAACGAGCGTTCGTTAATGTATTAACCATATTAATCAACTCTTTAAATTGCCTTCGCATATGCAAATTTCATATTTTCACAATAATGTAAAAATATAATATATACAACGTGACATAATAAAGCGAATATGAAAACAATGAAAATATGAAAATATGTTTATTTTCGCAAGAATACATTTTTGATTACTTGATTAAAAATAGAAAAAAATTAAATAATAACAAAATGTGATATTCCAATTTAATATCATAAAATCTGATACTCCATTTTCTGCAAAAACATCCAAAGGGGGAGCAGTGATTAATTACTATTATATGTTACGGCTAATGATACCTGCACTCACCTTTGTGCACGAGAAGTGTATATACCGAGCTGTTCTATTGGCTCATTAATAATTCTACTGTTTTTATTAATGTATACCAGAGCGAAGCAATGAATTTTTTATTGCACATCAGCGCATGAGAGAAAATAACTTTATATATTTATTTCCATCCCCATTAAAGCGCGAATTAAAACGCAGGCGTACACTCATCAAAATATTTATTAGGAGAAGTTGCGTATGTAACCCGTTCGAGAAAGCAATATTACACGTATATTTGAAGCTTACTATTCGTGGCATCCGACTCCCTGGAGATAGGCGGTAGACGAGTATCTCATTAAAAGTTATTGAGAATATATAAGTTCGCCTAATGCAATTAAAAGGTTACGTCATCGTAAGCTAGCGTAAGATTTACGTCATTAGCAACTTGTCAAACTCATTATGTCTGTAGATAATTTTTTTCTTTTATCTCTATCACGACAATATAGACGCTACGTGATGGGTTTATTGTGTGTGTTTAAGATGAAAGACTCTTCACGGTCTCTCCGGGAAAAAGTAGCGTCAAGCCAGTCGTGCATCGCAGAAAAATTAATGAATGTTATTCAAAGGAAATTATACTTTATATTATATATTTTCAGTTTCGCTACACAATTTATTTTCGGCCGATGGACGTAAATCGACTATAATTATTCGTTTGATCGTACGACGAACCATCGTTAACATTCTACGAAACCAGTTAAAAATAAGTGAACTTAGAATCGATGCGACGGGAATAAAGAGAGACATGTAAATAAGAGGTCGACGTTGTCCGGCAGATGCTAAAAATTTCGCCCCTGCATTTTATATACATATACATATAGAGCGTCCCAGAACTACTGCGACTAAAAATAATTGTTATAATATATATTAAGCAAAGAGGCAGATGTTTCTACGTCAATAATCTTCGTGTTACGGGCTATTGAAAATTGCATTTTTTTTCTTCATTCTTCTACTTTTGAATATACGGGAAAATATTGAAACTTTCTTGCGCAAATTAAATTTTACACATCTTTAAGAAAGAAATTAATGAAAAAAAAAACCATCGGTCTTCGTGTTTTACGCCAAATTATATCGAGACGACGAGTGACTTTTGTTAGACACGCTGAAATAATAATTAAGCGTGTTGCAAATGTGTATCAAAAACTGCAAGTTTGATGAATGTTCTTTACATCACGCACACGTTAATTTACGGCAGCAAACAGCTACGTCCATTAGCTAACAAGATGAAAGGGATATTAATTGAGTAAAACAACAATGACAATTAATTAATGGAAACTGAAGCGACGGAATTGTTGAAGTCAAGGCAATTTGAACGGTGGCCAATTACATGTGTTTTTCGGGAAGAGAGTTCGGGTCGGCTAACGTCATCCGCAAATACTCCCACGAAGTCGCAGCCGCATTACGAGGGACCGGAACGATCTCTCCACGAACGTGGGTAGGAGACCCTGAGACACGCGTTGGCCAAATAGTGATCGAAAGAACGTGCGTCAGGTGATGGTTACGGTGAAAGAGATAGGAATTGGGTGGGTACGATATTAGATGTGCACGGCGAGAGACACTAGCTCGGAGGGCTGAAATTGGTAAAACTGGATTTCGTAGGACGCGAGACAAGGTCGCACCCTGTTCGCTTTAGTCCTTCATTTCGCTCAATAAAGGGACGAAATCGCCGTCGCTGGCAAACGATCTGCAGATACGCCGGAATGTCAACGTCTTCGTCCGAAACAAAGCAGACACTCTCCGTTGGCCGCTCTGTACGCGTCTTTCGTCTCGAACGGGCTGAACTTTCGCACGGCGCACGACAATAGCGACACAATAGCATCGCGCATTCGTACCGCGTGTGCGGAATTATCGGACGGGTCGGTGCGATTGCGGTGGCACTCGGCCGCGGCCGCTTTTCACCGCTGTCGCTGCGAGGAAACGTGATACGGAGTCATGGGGTGTATATAGGTCCGGGGGTGCTTAGGGCTCGCGGCAGCTTTAATCCGTTCATGGGCGCGTCGGCCGGGGTGGAGGCGACGCGTGGCGCGGCGCGACGAGGCGCGGGGTGGATGAAGAGCGAAAGCAACCCCTCGCCCGACGTTGAGGAGAGGGGCAGAGCACCGGGGAGAATGCGCGTTGTATTAAAGCGCCGGCCCTCGCGCAGCGTGGGAGTTAGTTCTGGTGAGGGCGCCAGGCAGCTCACTCACCGAAGTAACCCACCGTCCCAACCCTTCGATCCTCCACATCCCTCGACCTTCGACCAACAAAGCAACCATCCACGGCCGCAACCTCCTCACCATTCGATTCCGTCGTCGCTTTCCGTCAGTCCGAAAAGTCCTTCCGCGTGTGAGAGTAAGGGGCGAGACACCGCCGCCGCGCATCGCAGCTCTTTCGCGGGGATCGCCTCCAGTGCAAACGCGTCGACGACGGCGTTCGCGAGGGTGCAGTAGCGAGCAACCGACGAGCCGACGATCGGGCGAGCGGAGAGAATACGCATCGTGGGAGACAGAGCGAGCAAGAGAGAGAGAAAGAGGGAGAGGGAAAAAGAGAGAGAGAGGAAGATCAAAGGAAAGAAAGAAGGAGAGAGAGAGAGAGAGAGGGAACGTTTCTCGTCGCTCAATGGAACACCGGCGCGGCCGGTCGAGATCGTCGGCGACGTCAGCACGGGAAGTCGGACAACCGCGGGAAACAGCCTTTAACCTTTGAAATACGCCGCGCGATTATAGTCGGAGACCGGACATCATCGTGGAAGACGGGTAGTTAGAGACATAGAAGGAAAGAGAAAGCGGGTGAGAGAAGAGAAGAGAAGAGAAGAGAGAGAGAGAGAGAAAGTGGGGAAAAAAAGAAACGAGAGGGGAAAGTGTGATCGCGCTAGAACGAATCAACGGAACAACCTAGAAGAATCCTCCCTCCGGCGCCTCTGACATCGCGACGTGCTCTCTCTCTTTCTCCGTTCGTACCTTTGGTACCCGGTATAATTCTAGATACACACAAGCACACCCACGAACAAGCGAGTGAGCGAACGAGCGCGCGCGCGCGAGGCATCACACGCCCATATGAACGGCCATACGGAAGCGGGACGTGCAGAGCGACGAAAATGTCAGTGAATGAATATCCCGCCGTGTGTGACCAGACGACAACATACGTGGTATGATCGCACGGGGTGCTGCCGTTGCAACGAGCATAGTCTCTTCCGTGACACGCGTCGATCAAGCAGGGGAGAGAGAAAGGCGTGATGCGGAGACGAACGTCGCCGGAATAGTAGCACCAGCCAGAAACTTGGGTGTTCGCTAAGGGCGGAGCGATAAAAAAAAGAAAAAAGTGCGGTTACATAGAAGAAGAAGGTGAGAGGACATCGGAGGACAGCCCGTCCTTCAGCTCACGACGACAGCAAAAAACCGCGAAGAAGACCACGCAATCGAGAAATCGGGGGAAAGATCGGCGAAGACTGGGCGAGAAACAGAAATAAAAAGCAGACACGAGAGAGGAAGAAAAGAAGAGGGAAAGTAGGAGACAAAGAGGATAAAAGAGAGAAAAAAAGAAAAAAAACAAGAGAGAGAGAGAGAGAGAGAAAGAAGACGAGAAGAGAGGAGTGATAAAATCGAGAAGCGGCATCACGGAACGACGCGACAGCGGAGGATCGAGGGAAGAAAAATCGAGACGGGAGATCGGAAGGGAAAAACTCAGGCACGGCACAGACGCGCGGCGGCGAGAGATCAAGAAGCAAGTATTATCACGTAATGCCCCGCGTAACACTGCACCTCCTGTATCGATGATACCTCGCGTAATCTCTATCTGTAACTCCACGGCGTCTCTCGCGCCTCTTGACATCCTCACTATATATATATATATATATAATATATACATCGGTGTACCTCTCCTCTTTTTCTCTGCCTTTGTTCTACACACCCTGTGTACCTCTGTCGCAATATACACGCTCGTGTTGCCGCCTTCCCGCGTCTCGCACCGACAAACGCGCACCGCTCTCTGCCACGGCAAGCCTTTGCTTTTTGAACGTTTTTCGGGGCACCTGTTGATATGACCGACCTACATACCACACTATTATCCACATTATGTCACCCCGTTATCGCCGTTCGACCGAGTCATCGGATCCGATATGCGGGCCCGAGGCTCGCTAATTGTCACATCCGGCGTGTCGGTTCTGCTCGCGCGAGTAACGTCGCGGCGACGTTCGACGCGTGTCGCGCGCGACGGAGCCGCGATGGTGCGGCTTTTAGAGCGACCCGAACGAATCCCTCCGATCTGGATCATACCAAGATAAAGTGATCCTATTTCTATCCTCTAGCGCGATCATGCGATTAATCTTTTTCCTTCGGAATGCAAAATTGCGCGACGGCAATAGTTACGCTCGAAATATATCGGGATGATTCGAAAGAGAAGAAGGATACAGTATTTTATTACATCGCGAACGATTCTTTGTAAAATTACGAAAAAAAATTATAGGGGGCACATCGCGTAAAGAAACATCGTACGCGATTCTCGACGCTTCGTCGCATCCGTCGAGTGAAATTCAGAATCAGTTTCGCTGCACGAAGCTCGATTTTCACGATCTAGCAGCCGAACGGAATTTCCGACGAGCGCTTGAATGACTGGTGAGCAGGTGTCGGCACTCCACCGCACAGTTCAATTACTCGTTTGATACTTGACCTAGCTACTAGCGTGTATAAATCGAGTTCAGGCGCTAAATATAGCACGAATATTAGAATTTATAAATATAAAAGCAGGAAAAAAAAGGAACCGCCGCCCGACAATCTCTGTAAATTTTGCGGTGCGATAGTCGCGAATAGATCCGCTCCGTGGTGGCACGCTCCGAGGAAACGACTTCGCAGAGTCACGCTCGCGGCTTATCTCGCCATTACGCGCACGATCGTGGCTAGGGCGAAAACTTAGGGGTAGGCGCGGTTATTTACAAGCACATCGACGATCATTATCGTAATCGCGATCGCCGCTGGCGTCGTGGCTTCGTTTCCGCTTTGCGGGAAACGTTCGGGACGTTCGATATATACGTGAGGAGAGAGGAGAATAGGGATACGTAAGACAGAGAGGTAAAACGGAAGGAAGGGGGTTGGGCAGAGCAGAAAGAGAGCAGAGAGAGAGAGAAAGAGGGGCAAAGAAAGGAAAGGTAAGCGGATAAAGGAAGCAACGCCGAAGGAGAGGGTTCTCTTACGGAGAGAATGGTAGCTTTATCTGCGCACGAAACAATCGCGAGCGTTTAACATGGGTGGCACATCGATTGGTTTAAATGTTGTCCACACTCGAGCACCTTACGCATCTATGAGCACGCACGATGAGCACCTCCGATAACCACCTTCACACGTCGCCAGCACTCTGTTGAATATCCTGAGAAAACAAAAATTAAAAAAAAAAAAAAAAAAAAAAAAAAAAAAGAAAAATCACCACAAATCTTTTTGTGTTCCTGGCACCTGCGGTTTCTAGGATATCGCACGTTTATTCTCTACTAACGACCTGATTTCAGGACGGTCGGTACAGGACGTGTGCGCTTTATCACGAAGGGAAAGCCAAGGTCGCGGCTACTATCATGGACTACCGAAAGTGAAGCGTATCGATTAGAGGAGCGAGCATAACGCAATCAAATGTCAAACGTGATACACCGTGCGCTCGACGCGGCGACTTATCCCCGATAGAGAGAAACGAGCAAAAGAACGAGAGAGAACGGCCCGTTTTCTTTTCCGAGGGCCTGCGACGGGGAAAACGTGATCCCGGTCGGGACATGCTTGAGAGATCACATCCGATACACAGTCGCACTCGTAACACCGTTGCGTTTTCTATGCAATAATCGTCGCTGTGCCGAAAACACACATCGCCGCTCGTGATTTTTTATCAAGTTTATCCTCGATCTCCCCCCTTCTTCACCCTCTCGGTGTCAATCGACCGCCCAGTACCTCCCGCCTACTCTTTACACACGAACGCATACACACACACACACGCACACATCGCACACATAACGCACACACACACATATCGAAAAATACGCACACATACGTACAGATACTCCATCCTCACAGCTTCCCAGTGTATCGCGAGTTCAAACGAAAAGTCGGCCTAATCCAGAGTCGCTACAGACGTGCCTTTAGATTGGCAGTGAGTAGTAAGCATCTAAAGAGAGCGAACAAAAAAAAAAGAAATAAAATAAAGCATCGTTGCTGTTCATGTAGGTCAATTATAACACCACGCCCAGCCGTATAATCCGGTACGACGAAAGTGGTGCTACGGAAGAAAGAAAAAGAGAGAGAAATATATAAATATATATATATATATACGTAGATATATATAGAGAGATATAGAGAAGTCTAGAAAAGGTAAAGAAAGTGGGAGAGAAGAAAAAAAAAAGACGAGAGGAAGGGAGAAAGAAACCGAGAGTAAAGGGAAGCGCGATTTAAACGTTAATGATTTGTAAAATGGCGGTTTGCATGTTTTGGCTTCTCACGTACGTGGGACAGGGGCTGGATCTGGCGGTGGGTAATCGACCCGTGATCATACAAGTGCAGGACACACAGGGACTGGATTATCGTCATGGAAGCGGTAGCATTAGAAAGAAGAGCGAGCTGAGCAGCTCGGTAGGTAACAACCTGTTGCACCTGAGGTTATATCCTTCCGATGGTCCCCACCGGGACGACCTGTCGAACTGGCTGGTCTTCAACGACGAGCCGCGGATATCCTCGTGGTCGCCCGCGGGCATGCTAATCGACGACATTGTGAAGGAGCCGCGGGAGCTCCAGAACGTGTTCTTCGCCCTGTCGCCCGCCGTGCTGAATGTCCTTTATTCCGAGCACGCGACGTCGCAGCAGTCCCACGCGACCACCGCGGCGGAACCCTTCGTTTACGACGAGGGCAATCAGCTCATTAACGGCCGGCACCAGCAGCAGCAGCAGCTCCATCATCAGCGCGCGAAGAAACGGCGCATAGGCTGCCGACATCCGAAGGGCCCGCTCAGCCTGCCGATACTGGTCTGCGACGAGGCCGGCAGGAAGACTACTACTCTTCAGGAACCCAGACAATCGAATTACGACGATCTCTACGCGGAGCAGAGATTTAACACTGCGACGAAGACTGATCTCGCGCGCGCCGAGGGCGGCACGCCTGTTAACTTATCCCCGAACGGCGGCTTCATCCCGAGGACCCTCGTCTACGAGGCTGGTAAACCACCTGGAAGCAAGCGGAGTCAGATAACGGTCGGACGGCGGTCGATCGACGCGCAAGGCGAATCCCCGGGACACCAGGCTCAAGGTTCCTCGGCGTCCTCGACATCGTCGGCCGGCACGAGCATCGCTTCGCAGCTCATGCTGCGATCCATCCGGGGAAGCATACAATACGACGTGCCGCAGATCGGTGAGTCATATTCTTTCGTTATATTCTACATTTTTACAAAGATACACAATAATTTACACAATTAATTGAATAACAAATTTAAAAAAAAACAACGTTATTTAGAAAGGTATTATTGCAGAAATAAATGATTCGTATGTCGTGCTTTTAAATATAATATATAGGCTGTAAAAATTTCTTTTATACGTTTTTATTATTTTTATTAATTCTATTATTATTTTATTTAACACTTTTATAGAATTATCAAAACATATCAGACCGATTTTTCGCGAGTGATTGTAGATAAAAAGTTGACAAGCGTCTGTGGGAATCAGACAAGTTAAACAATTTAAGCTTTCATAACTTCATTTTGAGAATGTCAATACGTTAATCTACTTTAAATGTACTCAATTATCTCTCCGATAACAATGTGTGTGCACATGAAACAGTTACCATTTATGAATACGCTTGAACTTTGATGAAAAAAAATTCTGATTTCTCGCACTTCTTTCTTACAGAAAAATAAACGGATTAAAATGAATTGAAAAAGGTTTATTTTTGTAAAAGAGAATCTAATTTGTAAAACGAGAATGAAACGATGAATTATACTTCGTTCCAACCTTCCTAACTCCAACATTATAATCGCTTACTGATATAAACTAAATGTTGAATAAAGAATTGAATTAAACGTTGAATAGAAAGAAATTCGTTTTAACATATTTTAATTTGAGAGTAAAAAGTAAAAATTAAAATAAAACGGTGAAGATAAAAATCTGTAGAAAGGAATTTCACAACAATAAAAAATGGTGAAAAGTTTTACGATGTCAAATATTACATTGAAAAATGGAATTCTATCAATTTTCTATAATTAATTAATTTTTTTAAACAGTAAAAGCAGAAAAATTCACGAAGAAATAATTTAGATAAAGAATTCGAACGATTTAAAAAAATATATACGCTTATTTCTAAAAATAAATCTAATTATGCTAAAAAGTTTCAAGAGTTTCAACATCGAAAAAGAATTGTATGCATGCACTTATCACATAAATCTGTGTTTGTGGAAAAACACATAACGAATTGCTTTTTAATGAAATATGAGCTAAACAGTCGCATCGTGATACGAATACGCGACATGAGTTATTCGAGCAAAAAGGTCTATAAATCTAAATGAAAAGTGTCGTGTGCGAAAATATAGACAAAGCGCTCCTGCAAATAAAGAAAAAGTGACGAAACTCTGTGTTGTGTGCACGAGCGTGCCCGCCGTTCCTCCCAAATTTATTGATCGAAGAGAACGCCGGCGGCGAATCTGCGACAAAAGGATGACGAGAGGAACAGAGTATACCAGTAAACATCCTTTGCTTATTGGGAAATCTAAAACGTGAGAAAAATGCGTGAAATGTGGAGAATCTTCTTATTGAAAATTTCTTTAAAATACTCACTTTGAAAGGAGAGAGTTATAAAAACGTAGAATAAAGTGTGTTATTTCACCCTATGCCGATCTGTTAGGTCACGATATATAAAGTGACTGATAGGTCACAACATATAAAATGTTAAGTGCCAATTTTGTTATCGCGATAATAATATATTAATTACATTATAATGAAGGTAGTATCAAAATTTATACGCGTTGACCTATACCTTCATCGCACACATTTGGCATTACGTTTACTGCTTAAACCCTCCTACGCTTACAGTGAGATCTTCATATTAATCTGGTAACGTAGAGAATCCACATTTAGAACCGAATATGCGCTGAGTATACAGGCTTTTGAAATGTGCTACCATGCTAGGCAAATAACACAGAGAATCAGTCAACTACAGTTGCAATTAATACCGAACGTGCGATGAAAATACATGCCGCGTTCAGATGCATATTAATATTGCAAAATATTAATATTGCACAACTGCTAATTAATGTCGATTAAATTTACATTAATTTAATTGTCAGAATTGCACAATGAAAAATCGTGCGAAGTTACATATCCGAATAAACGGTTTAAATAATATTGAAACAAATATTTACTCCGATAATATGCGTAACAGATCAAATAAAAAAATATAGAAAATATTCATAGTTCCCGGTCGCTGAAATAATGGAAGTTATAATGGAAGTTATAACGGAAATAATAAACTTTATGAAAACCTAAAAACCGTTTACATCGGAAAGAGATTAAGGATATTTGTTTATTCTTTTATGTTATTTTCTAATGGCGTAATCCGCCATGCGCAATTTTTGGCCGACATATCGGATAATGTCAACGTTTATTTATATAACACTTCTACATTCTATTCAGCATAATGCTGGCTTTTAAAAGCGGATTTATAAAAAGATTCTTGCGATTTTATTTATAGAATGTCCAGTTTCCGAAGATGGAATGGAAAGATTTGCTTGTCCGACCGCGGATAGAATGGGCAGATTTCATTGCATCGATGATCATGTCTTGTGCGACGGCTTTTTAGATTGTCCCACAGGCGAGGACGAAGACAGACAAGCCTGCTTGTTTTACAAAACTGTGAGTAGAATTATTGTATTTATCTCATATTTTCTTCGTACGCACGAAAAATTCCAGTTGTTGAATTTTAGTTCTTTTCGCGAAAACAAACTAATTAAAATGTAGCAATATTTCTTTCTCTTCAATTTTATAGTATATCTTATACGACATATTTTTGTTTTAATCTTTTTAACTTCTAATTAGTCGTTTACACTTAAATATGTGTTTGTAACACAAGCTAAAAAACAGAATCCCGGATATGCTGAAAATATTACAGAAAGAAAAGTTTAAGATGTTTTATCTTCAATAACTATGTTTTCTTTATATTTTTTATCACAATACATTTGTTGAGTAATTCACTTTTTAAAATTAATTATCTGATAATATCTGAATACTTATGTAGTTAACAAGTAAAGTATTAAAGTAAGCAAATAGTAAAATGCCAAAGATAATTAATGTTTTGAACAGTTATTGTCTTTCCCAACAATATCAAAATAAATTAAAAAAAAAAATTCCTTGTTTCTAGAAGAACGCTATTGAAATTTTCATATGTTAATTAACTTGTAGTATTTTAGATTCTATGTAAAACTTCGCTGAACTTTTGAAATGACTTTCGTTATAAAGTTCAAAAGAAAATGGAAGCGTATATTTGCACTAACCGTGGGTGTAATATCAAGAGCCAGTTTTCTAACTTGCCAGTAGTATTTTCCAAGGCTTTGAAGACGGAGGAAAACACAGAGAACAGAATCTTTTGATAATTTACACATCATTTGGTTGCACGTGTGTGAAATAATACGAATGTCGGTAAATTCGCGTTATCCGACTTGCTTTTATCAATGTAATTCCTTGTGTCGAGGGAATATTATTACCAGCAGAACGAAGAGTGAAGTAATATTATCGATATTTTCTTCAGATACGAAAAAATGCATATATTTTTTTATCTTTATAGAAAAGCTACGTGTTAAAAAGATTATTAAAATTACTCTGCATGACTTGTGTCGGAGTAAATAAATTAAATAATGAATATCATATGATAAAGTTATGGATTAAATATTGATATTTAAATTGGAACTTTGTGAAGATGAATTGTATGCAAAAAAAAATCACAGTTTGTAGGTATTTATATTTAGAACAATCTGAAGCGAAGAGGTAAAATTGTAGTGACAATTTTTTTTCGCCAATTTGGAGTCGACCTTTCATTAACGAAAATGTCGAAGTATCAATAGCTACAGTATTGATCTGCAAATGAAAAGCCTCCTGCGAATGAAATTTGAGGGAAATAAGCGGAAAATAAAATTAGATTTTTAAAAAAATTCATTTTAGATAGATTTTAAAGGAACTGCAATTTGAAACTTGATTACAAAGATATAGTAATAGTGAACTAAAGTTACTAAATTGCCATAAAAATAATACCTTTCCTCGACGCATGTTCACTAAAGAGAAGCAATTTTAAATTCATCAAAGAATGTGTCATGCAATTTTGATCTGTTTTTTTCTACAACATCCTACACAGTTGTTTAAATTATCGCATTATTACTATTGCTGTTATTGAGAAATAACAACAACAATGCTAATATATGCGCCAGTTGTTGTTAACGACCTGTAACCTTTTTACATCTCGTGAAGAGAATATAAAATTGAACATCGCTTGCAAAATTTGTTTTGCAAAATGCAGCTAAGCAAACTCTTGCGTCAATTTGCTCAATTGTATACTCTACGTATTTAACGTATTCTGAACCGTATAATCGATAAGACTGCCAATCACTTCATAAATTATGCACTTCAATTATTAATTACGAATTAATTAACAGTCATTACATAAACGACGCGGAGGAATAATAGTGAAGCATTATGGGCGGCATTGCGGACTCTCACTCTCTTTCTCGTTGAATCGAACAAATGATATAATCGCATTCTGGTGTGTTTCAGACAAAAGCGCATTTGGACGTATTAGCGGATGCCATACTACGATGGGCAAGAGGACGCTAATTCCTTCTTTGTTGACGATAAACCTCTGTACATAAAAGTCACAAGTCTGATACGTCTCTACTTCTTTATATATTCATCAATATCTTATATCTTTTTCTCTTACATTAAATCTATTTTCCGGAAACTGTTTTTTCTCTATGTTTGGCGCATAGAGACGTTCATATTGAAATCAAACTCAGGGGAACGTTAAGATGAACCGTCTCTCTCTCTCTCTCTCTCCCCCCTCTCTCTCTCTCTCTCTCTCTCTCTCTCTCCTCTCTCTATCTCTCTTCCCTTCTCTGTTTCCCCCACAGAAGTGATTATGATCGCTCGACTTAATCTCCGAGGAGACATGGCATGGTTCTAACTACACTAAAAATCGGTTAGCAAGGTCTATCGTAACCAAAATATCCTTACATAAAGTACAAATTAAGGTGTCCGAACTTTTAGAATGTTATAAATAAAGTTCGTAAGAGAGTTATGGCATTTTAACGCCGCTGTGTGTGGCGCACGAGAGTACCCGACTTGGATAATTTCAGTTTTAAGCATCTACTAGCTATACCACAGATGATGTATTACGATTTCATATTGAGCGATTTCCGCGAGATCGTACTAACTCTTTAACGACTTTATTTTGGTACAATAAAGTAATTTTGAAGACTGAGAACTATTTACTTCATTCCCAGAGTAAAACACGCGGCTTCACCGTCGCGCCGAACCGATAGGAGCGTACGATCGTATCGTTTGGCAAGGAACGGGCACGTGTACCTAGAGACTTCCTCCTAGAGTACTTCCTACGAGATTGTAAAAGAAATGTATTCGCGTTCAATCAAACCACTCCGCAAGACGTTGACGCGTAAGCGCGAACGTAATAAAATCAACGTCGATTCGGTCTTCTGGAAGAAACGTCTCCTTTCGCCTTGTGCACGCTCTATGTTGTCATCGATATCTCTAAACGTTTATTTCGAATTTATGGAAAAAAAAATAAACAATGTTCAAATAAAAACAAAGCGAATGCATTCAGCAAAAAAAAAAGAAAAAAATAAGAAAAAAAACTTTGTGAAGATTGATTGCGCTTCACCGAAAAACCTACTTTGAAATACCGAGTTAGGAATTATTAGAGAGAAATTTATTAGAGAGTTATTTGCTGTTGTATGCCTTGCGTTCTGCGACGTTTATTTACGAGCCTTTATCACACATATTCAGAAATTCACAAATATATGTATCGATATTGCTGTGAAATTGATGAAAATGAATTTCTCCTATGTTAAACATTTGATGTCCAAGAATTATGACTTAACGGTAACATAATAATACATATATATTCCAACTATCACAGGCAGTTTTGTACTTTCATTTTCCATACCAAATCAAATATTTATTATTCGCTAAGAAAATATCTGGTGCTGCGTTGTGTCTTATATTTGTAGAAAGATAAATAAGGAAAAACATATATATGTCAAATACATCAACACACAAAAATGCCCCATTTACAAAAATATATTACTCCTCTTTTCGGGGTTTCTCTATGCGTTTCTACAAAATGACTGTAACGTAAGTAAACTTATGTATATGTAAGTATACTTAACTTATAAGTTCGCTCTCCCTCTCAGGAATGCTTTCATCTTAACAAACGTATTTCGTTGTTGTAATACCTTTTTTATCGCAATGACAATATTTCTCCCAAGAAATATGATATCGATATGCTATATCGTTGCGCGATACGATCATACAATCTTCATTCTATGATCTATATTTATATATCGTATATCCGTCTGTTGTTACAAACTTGAAGCGTACCAAATGCTGGATTGTGAATCTGGATTAAGCAGTATCGTATTCATAGGATTTAAGTGTTTTACGACAAATTGATTGTTTGTCTTATGTGTCGCAAAATCGTCAAATTGCAGATCATTTGTTTGTAGCGGTACTGCTTGCGGCACAACTTCTCGTGGAAACGCTTTTGGTTGAGTATTCGAATCCATTAAAGCTACTACTTTTAGCGGGACATTTTCTGCAACTTTAATATTTCTGTCGTTTATGTATACAGGTATTCGTTGGATACCTGATTCGTTTTTCACGGCCAAATATTTTACAGGTTGAGTGACATTTTGCAATAACATAGCACGAGGCTGATCGTCGGTCACTTTTAAGTACATACATGGCTTGTGCTTTTGCTCCACTGGTAACAATGGTATGCTTCGCATACCATTAGACTGATTAATGCAATCATTAGTGTCGTTGTTATAGCTTTTTATATTGTATGAAGCTTTGGGCTGCACGGTATCTTCACAAAAATGCTGCGCTTGTGACATATTATTATATTTACGTGAACAATGGGTGGAATCGAAATAAAGATATTGTTCGTTGCAACGACATGTATTAGTTTGGTTCTTCTTACAATTTGCGTGAAATGTTTCTTCACATGTGGGTTCTCTAGATTTTTTGTCAGTTTGAACGTTCTGAGAGAAGCTTAACGTTGCAGTCGGTATCATCCTGTTGTTAACATCGTTAAAAAGAATATTTTGATTCTGATCGCGTTCACCGGTATCGCTCGTTTCACGTGTATGCAACTTAGCCTGTCGAGTAGTCTGTTGCATCCGTTTCGTCGACTCTACATCGATATTCAGAAAATTTGCGCGTTGTAAGTAATTAATCGGACAATAATTTGAATGAAGATGTTTCCTCGTGTTTGACGCAATTTGTTCTTGCTGACTTGATTTCTCGGAATATGCATTTGTATCGTATGAAGTTTCAGAAGTTTGCGAGTGCGAAGACTCGTCAAATCGAGAAAATTTATTTCTTCTTCTGCTCAATTCGTCGGAACATATATTTATATCAAACTCATCGACCTGAGACTCTCGCGTATCCTTTATTTCCATCGGTCCACTCTGAAACTCCGACAATTTTGATCGATTACGTGCGCTTACTGTGCTAGGTGTAGCAAGATTTTTGAACATATTTGGAAACTCTGTTTCATAAAACTCGTTGTTAATATTCTGATCTGGAGTTTTGTTAAATAAGTTCATTGTAGACCTCTTATACAAGTCTTCTGGACAATCATCGTTTATTTGAACAGAATGATTGTTTTTGTTAATGATAACGTTACATCGACGGAGAATGGTAGGTACTCGCTTAACATTTTTCACGTTTGCCTTATCGTCACATTTTGAAAGTGTGTCCTTTGATGGATAGTTATCAGTCGATAGCTTTTCATGGAAATAATCTTTTGATAAATGTCCCTTTGCCGGTAACACAGAATCGCTTGTAAAAATCAAATTTTTCACATATTTTGCGTTATCAATGCATTGTGCATTCCTATGATCAGAAATATCGATATGAAAATTATCCTTATTCCAATTACTTTTCGAAGGATGACTAATATGTTTAGATACCCTCTGAGAACCTAAGTGGATTGGATTTTTTTCGTTCACGAAACAAAAACTTGCTGGTCTCGGAAGCTGATTAATACCTGATGATTGTTTCGCATATTGATCGTTGTTCTCCTGATTTTCCACAATAAAGCTATTTGTGTCATATGTTGTAGAAGTATTTTGCTGTGTTGAGCAAGATATAGAGCTGCAAGGTGTTATGCCACTGCTTTTTTGAAATTCCGCATTTTGTATGAAATGAGATTTGTTATTCTTCTGAGATACATCTTGTAGACGAGTTGCAATTGTATGGTTTTCGATACATTTAGGAACTTCAAATTCGACAGGTGAAAATTGTGAAACATTAGAGTTTGTGCACGCTTGATACTCCTCAGACACTGCAGGCGATTCCACGTTTAATTCTTGATTATTTTTTTCACGCAAAAGTTGTAGACGAAAAGTATCAGTATAAGCATGTCTCAATTTTTGTAATGTTGTTGTAACAGGATCTAAAATGGTTATGTACAGTTAACAGAAGAATTAATAAATTAATCATTAACAAGCTAAATCCTAATCATTTTTTATACGTACCTGGTTGATAATTCTGTAGAAAGTTGGATTCAAAATTTTCAGCAGAAGTTATTTTACAAAATTCTGTATAGCGAATTAATGGATCCCAAGATTTACTTTCGCTATCTTTTGAACAACTCTGTTCTATTTTTTTTTCATTCTCTCTATTGTCTTTTGTTTGGTCGGTGTTATCATACATTCTAAAAAAAAATAAGTATTTTATTTTATTATTGTACAATCTACTTTTCTCTCTTTCTTATCTTAGATATAAATATAACATGATTTATGATTTTACTTACTGTGATTGAGTGGTAATAGCTTCCACTTTGTTCGTTAACTGTTCCTTATCATTTTGGAACAATCTCCGCTTGCATATATCTTCTTTTTGAACGGCATATTTCAATTCATCGTTAATTTTTTGTTTTATAATTTTATTTGGATCTACCTTTTGAAAGCCATTATCCTTTCCTTTCTTTTTAATGCACACATTCTTATTTTGGCTATAATATTAACACGTAATCTTTATAAAACACTTTTTATATGTATATTTAAGAAAAAATAGCTTATAATCATAGTAAATGTCATTTAAATCAATGAACATACCACTGTCCCTTTGTTAAATCTGGACTTTGCTCCAGAGTACCCGGTGTCCATTCTAAACTATGTTTTACAAAGCCTTTATTGGGAGATTTTTTAGTTTCATCATCTGATGATATTTCTATTATACATCTATAAAAAAATAAGAAACATATGTAATAGCATTTCAATATATATACTTGAAGTAAACTACTTCACTTTCGAATCAGTAATATACTTACTTTGATTCTGGAGTATCACCATTAAAAAGTTTTAACGCATCAGCATTTAGCCGGGCTTTATCAAATATATTTTCTGATGTCTCTGCTGTAAGATATTATAATTATCAACATTGTCTTTATTGTTTTACTGTCACAACAAATTAATTGCAATAAACATACCTTTCCGAATATTTTTACTCTTTGTACCATTTCTATATATGCCAGCATCCTGAAATAATAATGTAAAAGAATCTATATTTATAATACAGTCTGAAAATAGAATATTATGATCATTAAATAAAATTGCATACAAGTTTTGGTAGAAGTCTGTTGCAAATTCTTGCACGGCCTTGCTTTCTTTGTCTATCTTTAAAGCTTCCCTTTTCCACATTATCCTGAAATAAATTCCAGAGTATATTTTATTCACATATATGAAAATTATTCACAACAATTTATACATGTAAATTACATTTTTCTGTCGCACATATAATAATTTATCTAAAAATTTCACATAAAAATTTTACTGTCTTTTACATGTTAAAGTTTCCTCTCTGGAAAATATTATAAACATTACAGAATTATTTAAACATAGTTTTAATTAGAAAAATGTTAGTTAATAATTTCTGTGAAACACCAGCTACAAGACAAAAGATTCTCACTTGTAAAAATCAGTAAATAATTTTAGTAAACACCACACCACGAAACTAACCTAACTTTGTTAGAATACAGCTATTTATTCGTATTACAAAACCAATGCGATTATTTTGAATATGTAACAATAAACAATAATTACGCAGCAATATCTCTAACTATTCTACGTACATTTAATTATGTAAAGCGTTAATATATAACAATCATAACATGTATCAACAACACACGTGCGACGTTTAGTAGAGATACTACGCACATGTATTTAAAGCTCAAACACAATTCACGTTTACTTTTCAAGGTTATTTTATCATGTATCGAGCCAGATAAATTCCTAAATATAAATTAAAATCTGTTTTAAAGATTTTTGGAGCAGGATAAAGGCTCGAAGAAAGATTCGGAATAATTACGAGACAGAGCGCACATTTACGCCCGCGAAACATACCAATGTCTTCTTGGCTTTCAAGATCTTTGAATGTATTTTGTCGAGCTCCTTTTTCCGTCGCTTTCGGCTCGGTTTCGGCGCTTCTTTTCTGTCGACGATCTTCTGTGTTATTTTACCCATCTCACCAACTCACGATTTTGCGAGTTACTGCGCACAGTCAAACTTCCCAGTGACAAACGCGAATGCTAATGCGTCAATGACGACTACCTTCGTGTCTGTTTATTTACCTTCTGTTATTTACCCTCTCTACCACATGGTAGTAGAATCGTCTGTAATTTCAAGAATTCTTGTGTCTGACATCATAAAAGAAAGCGTGGAGAAGGAAAACAATTCGTTATATCAATGTAAACGAGCGTGCAAGAATGAAAATTGATGACTAATATAGAGGAGAGCGTGTTTTTAGAAAATAAAAAATTATTTACATGATGAATAAAAAGGCATGAATTGGAAGAACGTAATTGATTTCTGACAAATATTAACTGTAGTTATTTAACATTATATTACGTGATTTGTATTACTATATTGTTATAGTAATATTTCTTGTAATAACCTATATCTTTCTTACTTCAACAAATTGATAATGATAAGATATAAGTACTTTTAAATAAATTCAGCAAAGAGAGAGAGAGAGAGAGAGATAAATTGTTCAATATTATTCGTGCAAACCTACATTACAGTTTAAAGATTAAACACTTTGCACATGGCAAAAGGTACATCTTGGAATTTTTCGTAGAAATATTTATGCATGCTTCTATTAAACTTGATCTATCTAATTGTTGATATTTATACACTAATGCTACAATGAGTAGATTAATTTAAATGGCCAAGTGAATTGGGGTTAAACTATTTGAACGCAGATCAGTTGCAGAGACGGACAAAAGTATGAACAAAATTTACAATATAAATAAAGGAATGTATAATGATTGCAAATAATGTTATTATTATGTTATTAAGCGTATTTGCGAGAATAAGTAAGGAGCAGTGCACGCAGCAGCAAAATCGATTAAGTATTTATTATTTCTATAAAAATTGCAAGAAACTAATTGATAAAAAGTTATTGTGTCAATTAAAAAAAATATAGAACTGTGAATTTAATTTTAATCCTAAAAAAATCATTATTTTTACTACTGCTTCGACAGAAACAAATTTTGCTACATTTATGAATTGTTAATATTGCTACATTAGAGAAAGACGAAAAATAAAAAGACTTTTTATTCTCAAATCAATTAAAATCAATTAAAATCAATTAAAATCAATCAATTAAAAATGTCTTTATTTTTTGACTTTCCCTAATATATATATATAATGACGTGTGCAATTTTATATGGTTCAATTTTAGACTCTACGTTTCTCATTAGAAATATTGTAAGAAAATATTTGTTTTTTATATTAAGTTCTTTGATAATATATTGAAATAAATATTTAAAGATCAATTAAAAAACCTGGCAGATATAATCATAACTGTGCTTTTTTGTAAATGAGTATCGAGATTATGATTTTAAATTGGAAAAAGTAATAATGAATATCATCTATGATTGAGATCTTTATCTTTGTCAATAGGTTATCGACTGAAGTTCAAGTTATTTTCTGATAATTTATCCGTCACGTGCGCGATGTATGACAGAAAAGCACTATATAGTTGACAAGTTTCGACGACCTTTCTATGCATGTAGATGACATATCTCGCGATATGTGATACGTTCTCATTCGTATAACAGACTCGAACGGGACGCATGAATAAGTTGTACTCTGAAAGAGTGAGTGATACACTTTAACTAATTTCATGCGATATTATTGTGTCCCATGCGCGTGTCGTTTGTTGACCCAAGTTCCACAATAAGCCAGATAAGAGGGGCGGAAGAAACATACCGCTTCTGACGGTTAACGCTTCGACTTTCGTTTTAGTCCATCATCCGCCCGCTGAATCATTAAATCACTAACTATTTTCTACTTCAGTTTATTTTGGCAGTGCGAAGTTTTTCTGCTCATCGTGTGATTAAGCACGATCAGTGAAGTTTCCGAATTTGAACGGTCGTAGTACGCATGGAACAAAACATTATACCATATCGACGAGATAGCATTTTTCTCTTCGCGTGAGTTGTCTTATTTTCGTGATTTTGCAAGATTATACAACGATAATTTGCGATCAGACATGTCACGCTACGGTGCCGTGACTTTTGAAAGGTAAGTTTGCTTAAATTCTTTGTGAATTTACTTTAGAAGGTTCATCGGTTGATCGTCAAATTTTGTGGCTTGTTTAGAAGAGATGACTTTTAGAGGATGCGTTCAGAGTAGAGTATACACTCAAAAAAATATTTCGCTGATGTAGTTAGATTTCTAGATATCGCAACAAGAATGTATCGCTATTTTTCGTATCTGTGAAAACATTGTTTGTCACATATAGAATTTATAGCAGTAATGTTCTAGCAATAGCATCTGAAAAATTTAGGTACCATTGCTAAATGTTATTCATTGCATAATCGAACACGTGATTGATCTTATATAGATAGGCGCTTTAGAGAAACTTTCTTTTTAAAGTTCACAAACAATACAGATATATATTCTGTTTCTGTCATCTAAACTGATTAAGTAATTACATATGCAATATCACAACAGTTGCTAATCATTTATCTGTTTTAGTTAATTTTTTACACCTAGAAAATTTTAGCTATTATTGCAAGATCATTTTTTTGAGTGTACGATTTAAAGCTAATTATACAACTTAAATATTTGATCAATATTATTACGATTTATTTATATTGAAACTTTTTGGTTTAACTTTATTTCTTTCTTTTAATTTTATAACATCAAAATTATGAAATTATATCGACATTCGATCATATCGACATTCGATATGGTTTCATAATTTTGATGTTATGAAATTATCATCATTTATTGATGATTATTGTGATATGGAAAAATGACAACTATAAATTGGAATACGCTTCTACACGTGTATGTACGAAGCAATTAACAGTTTTACTTTCATCACTTTATTCATGAAGTCGCTATATGAGCATTGCTGCTGACATCATTGCACATCAGTTTGCATACGCATAAAATATAAATTAAATATTCAAAGCAACAAGTACAAATGTACACTATGTATTGTTAAATTACATTATATAATTAAGATAAAGTCTCGGACGATGCATACGTGCGTTGGAGTATGTAAAATGTTATTACATGTTGCACGCGTGATATCGATAGCTAAAACTTTAGTGACAAAATTTTCTGATTAATTTGAAAGATATTTTTCTTTGCAAAAATCCATATTTACTGAATTATAAGTAACTTAAAATAGATTATTTATAATTTAAATTTAAAAAATCTCAAGAAGAATTATAGAAAATAATAAATAATAAAATTTACTTTTTACGTATTTTTAAGTAAATTTTATTTATTAAATTTTTAATATATTTAAAAATTAATTATAAAGATGATTAATGTTAAAAATTATAAAGTTACAACAAATGGCAACTTTTTCCAACATTCTTGTCAAAGAAGGAGATTCGAATTTTATTATAAAGTGTATTAAAGTTTCGAATTATTCATTCTTCCCGCGGCTAAACACAGAGAACGTGTTACTTTCATGTGGATTTAGCATTCACACTTTGTTTCACCTTTTCATCAAACCTCTCACGTATGTTCCTTTCGCAGTTCATTGCCACGGTACGTTAATAATCAAGATTCTAGCCACATTTTGTAAGGTAAAAAAAGAGACACTAACCGTCTCTTATAATATACGAGTGTCACGGGATCAGTCTTAAAGTTTTATTTTATTCTCATCATATTTTTGCTACCAACGTGCACATCGGAATTATTCTTCCAATCAAAGAACTATTTGTAATTGCGCATAAAATTGCATTGTTCATGAACATGTAGCGTAGCACACGAAAGCATAATTTAAGCGATAAGTAGTTTATGTTATTCAATTCTTAACGTTATTATTTTGGCATTTATGATTAATCATAATCATATACACAATAATGAGATCATTAATTGATAGTATCATTTGATATAGATTAAGTTGATCAATAAAACTCTATACTCATCTTTGATAAAAGTGATAAATTTTATCGTTTTTGAAAAAAGAAAATAATAATTATATAGACTTATCATTTACAGCTTCGCATTTATAATTAAAGTATCAGCAAATAATATAAAAATATCTATCTGCTTGTTTATTATCTTCAAGCAACTTGCACATCTTTTACGTAACAAAGAGTCTTTTTTTAATTTTTTCTCGTTTAAATTTAATCATATAAGTACGCGTCGCATATTTTCTCAATTGCAACATCATTCTTCTATATCTTATGAAAAGTCATCTTGTTTGTTATTGCATAATAAACTTAGTCAGTAATTAATATTGCTATTTCTAGAACGTGCATAATGGTTATAGTAAAAAAAATATGTACTTATGCATTTTCATATGTATGTACTTACATATGTATGATTTTATCAGACGTTTTATCGTGAAAATATAAAATTTTTTGTAGATTTATGTGCTTTCTTCTAATTAATTGAAATTAATCTTTTTAATCAAATTATTGTACAAAATATATCAGAGAGTCTTAAGATTTGTCTAATGAAAAGATACTTATGATATAATTTGTAATTGAGATAAGTGTAATTCGAGGATAAGGCCATTTTTTTGTCGTTTGTCTGCAATTAAATGGCTTAATAAATATTATATTATAAATTGTTTATATGTAAAATATGTTGTAGAAATTTATCAAAAATATTAAATAAAACTCACAATTCAACATGTACACACGCACACATTAAATTATGAAATTGAAAATAATTCTCGAATGTAGACTGCGATAAAACAATATTATCTAAATAGAATAGGGTCAGGCACTGTCAACATGTCGTTGATTATACACCTTTTTCTGTTCATGTTACCTTTAATGTACTTTTCTCGGTTTATATGAATTAACCTGATTTGATTTATCAAATTGAAATTTTCTATTAATGTTACACGTATTACATTATTCGGTTATTAAAATAAGCGAGTTATTACAATATTCAGAATTTATTGAAGAATGTAGTAAATATTAAAAATTAATTACGAAAGGTTCATAAAGTGCGAATGATTATTATATTATATCTATTTGGAAGTCTCCGGATTTGTTTATATATGCTTTCACGTGATATAACAATTATCCAAGTTGTAGAGTCGCGAGATGTGAAGCAATCGTATAACTAGAACTGGCTGGTTGAAACCAGTTACGATATTTCTCTAGATCCTTTCAATGTATCTACTAGCCAACATCGAAAGTATCTTCTGCGATTTTAATATCGATACATTTCTACTCTAAATTAATATGAAATTACGCGCGGGGATTGCATGTGAGAAATATTATAGAATGCGATGTGTCAAAGCTTCTATCTAAATGTACTGCAATACGAATTATCGAACGTAAAAAGTATTTCATATTTTATAGGAACAGATGTTAAATTGCTGCCATTGTCGAGTAACAAGAGCGTCGATTAAGCTTGCGATAAAATCGCGCTCGTAATAAGTCATTCTCTCAGCATTTATGAAATGTACATTGGTAATGCATCGTAATTTACATTGCACGGATTATACTCCAGGCAAAAAAAACTTATCAGAAAGTGGCTTTTAATACCCTGCGTATTCACGAGTAATCGAATACTCATCCGTTCTCAACTTAAAGATTTTAATTAAAATTGTTTTGCAAAACGTGCAAAACGTGTATAAAATTTTATTACAGAACGCTTCCAACGCTTATTCAGGCGATATCTTCGTACAATATTTACGATATTAATAAACATGTTTGTGATTATCGGATCGGTCTAATCGCGCATTTCAAGGATATTTTTCTAAGTTTTCATCCGAATACACGAAACGTTTTTTCAATGGAGCATACATTTGTCCAATGGTTTTCTGTGTTCATTTCTTCAGAAGATATTGTATTTTAAGATATTGTCTTTCCCCCTCTTATTGTTTTACCTTCTCCCACTTGTCTAAATATTGCGGTCAGCACTGAGGAATGTGATTACCTCCAAAGACAATTTCTGCGCTGTCTTTGTCAGACGGGACAAGCAGGTACGCGCATGTATGTAGCGATTGTCCGGCGATCCATTAATTCGCGTATCGGTGATCGTGATTCTGAACTTGCAAAAAGTATGTGACGTATCTCGCGCGAGTGGAGACGAGTTTCCAGAACGCGAAAGGCCGGACGCCGTGCTTGTGATAGAACGTCGGATATGTGCGCTCCGTTTTAAGGTAATAGAATATGCAGATTCGTCCGACAAGGATACGCGCGCGCGGAAACGTTTTCGCTCAGACGCGATAAAAGTGAGATCGTAAATGTCATCTCTGTAAAGTCCGTCCATCCGTCCGTCGCGCGTCGTATTTTCCGAAACGCGAGTGCACACAATACGGGAAAACGTACGACGTGCTGTAATCGCCGGTAGTTCCAGCTGTTATCTGCCACAAAACACCAAAGTACATATCGCACATGTTCGTACACGCTGATACTATTTGCGTGTGTAATTGCAAAGCTGATATTATGCATCTTAGGTGTATAGCGATAGAATTTAGAACGTGCGTTTATTTCTCTTAATCGTTTTTAATGACTATCATCGCGCTTATCAAGCGATAAGCTTTTGTAAGAGATCCAGTAGTCTGAATTATATAGAAGTGTTCAGTGAAAAGATAACGCTTAAGTATTGTTTGGATAGTCAGCTCGCATTATACAGGCTTAACTTCTACGTAAATTGTTGCTGATTGTCAAAGTAAAGAGAAAGTTTAGTAAATACAATTTAGTAAAGTATAGGCTCCAATAATTTATCAAATAATAATAAATAAAAAGGCAAAAAGAGCCGTTGCTAGTTATTCATGCAATATAATTCCACTTGGTGTACAATGACAAACGTTTCGATCTAAATTAAGCCTTCTTCAGTGTCACAAAATAAATATAAAGTAAACACAATTTTAAAAATATGTCGAAATTTCAAAGCATGGAATAAATACAGTAACATTTTCTTGTGCCATTATTCTTAATTAACAGTGATAATAATGAAACCATGTATTCGTAAAATAATATCATGGAAGAGTCAGAGAATGAAATTTCCAAGTCTGGTGTGAACAAAAATGAGTGTAAATTCGTATAAACTATTGAGGTTAAACCATGATTAAGAATTGAAAACTATTTAACTTAGTCAAAGGTTAAAACGATATATTGACTACTATAACTAGCAATGGCTTTTTTTGCCTTTTTATTTATTATTATTTGAGAAAGTTCAGTATACTAAAGTATAATTTAATTATGTCGGTATTATTTGCAATCAACAAAGTGTAACGTTTCTCAGAACTGTCTTTGCTTTATAATTCAAGCTAAATATTTGCTTTCTGATATTTATAATTCATCGAGGTGTTGTATGTAATAATTGTATAACGCTGGATTATCCCGCGAGAAACCTTTGTGAATTATAAAAGAAAAAAAAAACACGGCGCGGAACTCATCATCTATTCTGTTGTCTCACTGATATGCTATTCTAAAGTACGTAAACTCGCAATGTCCTTGGGATTAACTTCGGCCATTTGACTCGCGGAAACTTTCTCACCTTGCGCGCGAGGTAATGATCGGAATATTAAGACACGCTCCATTAATTTATTAACATTATCTAGTTTCTCGTAAACCTCGCTCTCACAGAAACAATTTCTGTCGCGCATAAATCGCGAAAGTGGATAAACTTCACGAATTCACGAGGCGACGACAGTTTGTGTACATTAATGCGATATCAGAATGCTGTCGTAAACTCGAATATGGCCAGTTACTCTTTGTACATTTTACTGTACGAGAGTTGAAACAATTTCGCGTGACGCAATAGGATAAACTGCACAGTTGTTTCGAGCAACGATTTGACACAATTGGAAGATTACTTTATTTGATTCGGCGTCCCGATTTCTTTTCAATCCTTCCTTCGAACGTGGCTTTTTCTGTTTTCCCGCACTGTATTCGGAAATCAATAATCACGTGCAACGTAGAAGTTTACCGTGTGCTTGCAAGAGGTCAGCACGTAGTCTTCACGATACTATAGAAAATTTTACAAATATTTTATAATTATTTGCTAGTACGATATATTGTACATTTTCTACCAGAAAGTGCAATTTTGTGAAAAAAGGACCAAGAAAGTAAGAAATGTTCTAGAAATATCTACATATTATGTTATATATACATTCAAATTAACATTGTAAAACAGATATTTACTATCTGCGAAAACGCTTCGCGATAAGGCGCGATAAGGTGGATGGACGGAAACAATTTCTCTGCACAGTGGTTTTGCGCTGTTTTTGTGTATTGACCATTGCTGAGAATGCATCTCCGGACTTCATACTGTAATCCAATTATTTAATCCGTGTCTTATCTAGTCGTATCATCACACGAACGCAGAGAGCTTTACATCGCGCGGAGACGTTACATTTTTTTTTGTCTTTAATAATTATTACGCTCTGGTTACTTTTATTTCTCACGTGTTATATTTTTTTTATGCTATTTTTTTACGTTATTTGCCGGTGGACCGCTAACACCCCAGCTTCTGCATCGTCGTTATATGCATACGTTGTTTATATACCGCCGGGGTAGCCGGCTGTTCGGCGGAAAAGTCGTTTCCGAGGGCAGTTCCTCTCTCCCACGGCACTTTTTATGGGGAAAAGCTTTCTGTAGCCGCCTTCGCGGGGGAACTGATCCCGTTTCTTTATGTAATGCTCGCCCAAGTCCGACGCGCGACTGGCATCATTTTTCATTCGCGATGTTCCCAGGAAACTTGAAACATAAAGCGTCAGGTTGAACTTTCGATCGGCCGCCGCAGCGGCGATTCGCGGTGTGGTATATAAATTTCGAATATGATTGCAGCTTACGAGATATAAAAGACGACGAGATGATGCCGTGCTGCTCGAAAAAGAGCGAGACTGACCCGCTGCAGTTAGAACAAAGAAATGGTACGGAGAATCTTCACATGTTAACATAATCTGCTAATGCAAAAGTATTTTTCCGTCAAAGGAATAGTTTTGAACAGACTAAGAAAGGAAATTCTATGTAATAAAAATATACTACAATAAAAGATATAATAATGTCAAGAATAAATAGAATAAAGTTCTTTTGCATACTAAAAGACAACGAAATACAAAACGCATACTAAAAGAAATATGCAGAATTATGGAAAACGTAAAAATATTAGAAATATGTTTTACATTTTCCCCGTTCTTTAATTACCCAATTTATATTTATCTAAGAAGGAACAAAGACGAAGAAAAATAGAAGTAAATTTACTTTGTATAATGCAAAATTTTATTTTTAACAATTTTTTAAACTTGCTGCATTTGTGAAATAGAATTTTAGTTGGTTCTTTCAACGTAACGTAACGACCTAAAAAACAAATTGTGTCGTTTTGCAAAGAATTAATTAATACTTTGTGGAATTTTGATTTAATATAACAAAATATCTTCTTTCCTATTATCTAAATTTTAAGAACATTCACACGAAATTATAATTACGATAAATATTGCTCAGTTCTTGCATAACAGACGAATTGTATAAAGATTTACGTGTCTAGTCGTCTAGTCGGTCGTTTGAAAACGGGATCAAGGTGGGCTTACAGTTCCAACCGGATTATTCTTCCAGTTAGTGTTGTTTAAGTATCACTGCTTAGCGTAGTATTAAATAAATCGCTAAGTATACATGTACAATGAATGTTAGCTCGTTAACGAGATACCGGAGATTATACTGTAATTACGTGTAGATTCTATATATACCTGATTATTCAATATTATATAATTTGCTATTTTCTAGGCTTCATTTTCTGTGTACTTGAGTATATATGTCATACAACATGTCATATAATTACTCATATTACATATAATAAGAGAAGATACATAAATTAGCTGTAATAAGAAGTTTTTTCATGACGCGCTTGTCACGATGATATGTCTTATATAATAGATAAATATATTTTGGTTGGTTAAATATTTTTCAATAATGTAATTGATTTTCACATTATAACTTTTTAATTAAAAAATGCAGATATGCGATAGTGACTAAATATTATATCTTCTTTGCAGATAAAATGACATTCAATTCAATTACAATTCATGTGTAATATTTTCAGAAAAGTTTCAAAAAATTCGAACTACAGTGATAATACCATAACAGTGACAAGTTCCATTAATTAATTAATTTTTTAATAATAATTCTGCTTGAAAATCTACCAAAATTTAGTTTTGTTTATGAATTTTTCTGATATTAAAAAATTTTTTTATTAAAGTGTCTTTTAAATCTTTTACTATAAATTATTTATTTTGTTTCTTGTAGTTCTATCAATAGAAAATATAGAAAAATTTGGGCTTTATCAAACCATTATGTTCACATTTATTACTCTGCCATTAATGTTATCGGCAGGCTACACGCTTTCTTACGTATTTACTGCAGGTGAACTTAAATACAGGTATGTACGCATATGTAAATTTTATAATTATTTAAAATATATTTTTCTCTAAAATCTTAGAATAAATTTGATATAAAAATTTTTTTATATAGATGTTTAGTGCCGGAATGCGAATATCTGGGAAATACGACATTCCATCCATTATGGATCAATGATTCTGCTCCGAAAATCAATGGTGATATTTCGCATTGCACGCGGTTCCGTACGCGGGAAAACCCGCGGAATTATTCGAATATGTGTACAGAAATGTCATTCACTGATGAACTTCGTAATTGCGATTCTTGGGTTTACGATCCGAATGAGCGTACGATTCTTAGCGAGGTATAGTGATCCGCTTAATCAGCACGTATTCTCTAAGGCTCGGCGAGATTAATGGTATGCACACAGATTCATTTTTTCTATTGTTTTTTCCAATGCAGTGGGACATCACTTGCGATGCTAATCGATGGAAGCTCACGTTAGTGGGTACAATGCAAAATACCGGTCAGTTCGTCGGCTTGATGTTTGCCGGATATATATCTGACAGGTGAGATCGGTACAACGTTTCTTGAGCTTCAATTAATTAACCGATCAACACAATCCGAAATGTTCGTCGTCGATATGATTTTAATTTCATATTTTGATTTCAAATATCTCTATGCCACCTAAGAAAATAAATATATTTCTAAATTTTATTTCATAATTGCAAGTTGGATGACGCTAATTGTATTGAATGTTCTTTAATTAAATCGACAATGTAATTCGAGGAAGACGCAGATGCATGAGTCTCGATAAATTCAACCTGCAATGACAAGTTTTATTAATTCTTATTAATATCTCTACTCGCGAAGGTCTACCGCCGTAAAATTTATTATCATTGTTTTATATTTTCTTTCTTGAACGCATTAGACTTATTCGGATGGGAATAATCAGCTATTTATATTGCGAAACATTTCTCTTATTACGTTTCTTTATGCAGCCGGCGATAAATCGCAAATGGTTCCGAGATTAAATTCCTAGTTAAGAATATATATGGTTTTACGTAATGCGAGGTTTGATAAATGATGCGTAACGAAGTTTCTGCAGTTCGCTGATTTCACGCATTTTCGATAAGAAAGCGCGGCGTCGCGTCATCGCGAGGAATTTCGCGATTGCGGCAAAGCAAAAATGCGCTTTGCCAGAACAACAGAGATGCATCTCGCATTCATTCTTTCGTCTATTTCTAGGTACGGGAGACGAACCATTTTGACGCTGGCAACATCTCTGGCGGGAGTCAGTGGCTTGATACATTCTTTCTCCGTGAATTATTGGATGTTTCTCACATTCGAGTTCCTCGACGCTCTCTTCGCGGCAGGAATTTACAGCGCGGGATTTATTTTAGGTGCGCTAATAACGCGACAATAACTCCGGGCGAAAAAATATGCAACACCTGTTATATTATTCTCGTTCTATTACGTGTGCCGGGCGGCAGAGTAAATTCTCGATGTGATGCTCTTTACTCGTGTTTGGAAAGCAAATACGCGACACGGGTAATACGAATATTTTGGCGTTATTTATTCTGGATTTTATCGCGTGTTTATTTAGTTGCTTATTAAAATTTCAGTTGCAGCTTTATGCGCGACGTGCATTAAGATATATAATAAGATTTCCGCAAAAATGCCCTGTGACAAAAAATTCCCGGGTAATGTAAAACTAACGAACTGCGTCGCAATAAAATGAAAGCTTTTTCTCAAAATTTTTGGATTGCATTTACGCAAAATGGAAAGAGAGAAAATACTGTATTTTGTATGGTGCACGGAATAACTCGAAAAATTTTTTAGAGATACATTCTCTGAAAACCAGTGATTGATATACTTATCGTTTATATCTCTTATCAAATGTTGATATTAAATTAATTGATTATAGATAATCTCAATAAATTCGATATATAAATTGATCTTATCGCGGGATATTCAGATCAAAATACGATGTATTAATCCATATATATTCATTCACGTGGTTTTTGTATCAATGATTATCGATAACTTTATTATATGTGTGTGTGTGTGTGTGTGTGTGTGTGTGTAATGTGTATTCGTTTTCAGCCATGGAGATGACGGGGGTGAAAAACAGAGTTTTGGGAAGTACTATCGTTTGCTGCATATTCGCTATGGGTGAGATCGTGTTGGGATTGTTAGCAAGTTGGTTGAGATCTTGGCGAACGCTTCTTCAAGTGGTGTACGCTCCGGGAATGTTAACAATTTTTCTGCCTTTGCTAATTCCGGAATCAGTCAGGTAAATCTCTTTTAATCTTAATGAATATTCGCGTATCAGCGAGACGTCATTTCTGATCGATTAGCAAGATTTAATCAGCGGACATTATCTACAATTTATGGGATTAAAAGATTTTCTTAGATATCTATCCGCAAACTTACACTAAAAAACTATAATCAACTGTATTAATTAAAAAACAAAGAGATTAAAAATGTGAATGGTTTTAGCGCAACTTTTTATCAATTATTAATTAATTTAATCGATTTAAAGAACTTTCTCAAATCTATATACGCAATAGATAATATTATTTCTTGATACTATTTTATCTGAAACGATTATATGTGCAATACTTGATTCTATTTTTAAGGTGGTTACTGTCCAAGGGTAAAAATGAGGAAGTGGAGAAGATGTACCGCAAAATGGCACGAATGAATAATTTGCCAGTAACGCGGGAGGCCATCAGTTTGTTTGAGAAATTGAACGTTGCTCAGGTCGAAACGGTACTGTTATACATTTATATACATTTGTATATTTCTTATTTTCCCTCACAAACATGTTTTGGTAATCTCATTTGCAAATTAATTTTTAATTGTTTAAAAATAATTATATTACGCGAATATCCAGTGGTATTATTTGTCTTTTTTAATTATTGTTATCGAAAATAGAACTAATATTTGATAGTTTTCTTGTTAGTACTATATTAAGGCGCGAAGTAATGATTTCAATAATAATAATTGGCAATTATACTGACGTAATTTTTTAGAAAAGTGAGTTAGTGGAATCAGATAACAGGAAGCCGATCGTTCAAGTTCTGCACAGTTCAGTTATACTCATTCGGCTGCTAGTCTGTTCGTTCTGCTGGCTCACGAACACGTTCGTTTATTACGGATTGTCGTTGAATTCTGTGGCATTCGCCGGAGATAAGTACATCAATTTCGTGCTCGTCGCCGTGGTCGAGATACCGGCGTACTGCCTCACCTGGCTGCTGACCGATTACATTGGTCGCAAACCAACGCTCTCCGCCTCGTTCCTGCTGAGTGGAGCGTTCTGCCTCGCGATCCAATTCGTACCGACAGGTAAAAAAAATATTTCCTCGGACAGAAATGGACCATTTTATCATGGGTTGAAAAGCGCTGGAATTTGCAGTTATCTCGGAGAAATTTCGTTTTTATTTCTTTTTTAATCAAAGATTGCATCTTTAGAATCATCATTAACGCGCATTTAAGAGAATGCAAAGTGGAAAATGATGACAGATTAAAAATTGAGATTTGCCGCTCTTGGAATTTTGAGCTATTATCGCTAACGAGCTGCAATGTTCTTTTTATTTTAACCTTCTCCCTCGCTACGATCTTTGTGTTCCTATACATTTCGCGCGCGTCTTTGTTAGAATCGCGAAATTTAATCGCGCGCGCGCGCGGAAATGGGCTATAATCGCACGAAAATATGATAAGCCGTAAAATGTATAACGCCGCCGTTGTATATTACGTGTAATCCGGGCCCCAATGCAAAGAACGTGTTGAAATAACGCCACGTGCTAGCATCGTTCGGCTTAGTCGCGACCGCGTACGCGCGTGTTCGCAGTGTAATTATGTTGGGTTATAATGGGCGCGCTATGGCACACGATCCCGGTGATTTATCGCCGCGCTGTTTCAGGTACCGAGAGTTACTGGCCTTTACTTTTATACCTGGCCGGGAAATTGTTCATCACCATGGCGTTTGGTACCGTGTACATCTACACGGCGGAGCTGTTCCCGACGACGCTCAGGCATTCCCTACTCGGAATTTGCAGCATGACTGGTCGCATCGGGTCAATCTTATCGCCGCAAACGCCTCTTCTGGTGAGTCAACAGACGCGCGTTGGAATAAACAGATGTCTCAATGAATTCGTGCTTATCCGAACTGTGGCCTTGATAATGTCTTTCAAATTCGCGTCAATCAGCTATTTCTCCGTAATTACAGACGAAATATGAAGACGTTGGCGAAATATGCAGAAACGAAAATAACGATTTCAGTAAACATTATTTTTTCGCAACGTAAAATACTCCGAAAGTTTAGCATTCGCAGAAAATCTTCGATGAGGAATCTGTCGTCACGTATGTCTCGTTTTTTTTCTAGGCACAAATAATGCCGTCCCTGCCGCTCATCCTGTTCGGATCCATCGGCATAATCGCGGGTCTCCTGTCGCTGATTTTCCCGGAAACTGTGGGGACGAAACTTCCGGACACCGTGTGGGAGGCAGAAAACATCGGTAAAGTGCAAGTCAAACGGGAACCGTAAAATTCTGCGTCTTAAGGCGTCACCAGTGCAACGCGAGGCGCTAAGACGCGTTAAGTCTACTGGGCGAGAGAAGAGGAGACGGGAGGAACGGCAGTGGCTTTTAAAAGTTTACTGACAACGCGGTTCCGAGATGCGCCGAGCGCGACGCCAGATAAGGGGTGGCCCTTACAAAACTCGATGTCTAAAATATACGGCGTAATTGATGCGCGAGCCAGTCTCGCCGTGCTCGCCGGGCGGGTGAAACCATGTCTTGCAACATGCTCTCGCAGATTTTATCTGTCGGCGATTTGAATAAGCACGGCGCGTACTCCTCCTCCGTCGCGCAACTGTTTACCTTCCGCAAACCACCGCCGCGCTCCGCCGTCATTTGTCTTACTCCCGGCGTTTATCCGCACGGAAGAAGGATTATAATATCTTCCGGTAAAGTCCCGGCGTTTCCCGCGATATCTCGAAGTCTTCCGAAATCTCCTCCCCTCCCGGCGCGCGCGTAATTTGCGAGGTGTTAATAGGAATAGATCGGATCAATGCCACGGGTTCATCATATTTGTATAATATTTGTACTCCTGGGACAATATTTATGTACAGTATCCTGCGCGTTAACATGTTCTTAAAGGTGAATTCCTTTTACATGCTTTGCTTCACCCTATTATCTCGTGAAAATGCAGCCATCGTATACGTAGGACGCATACAGTAAAGATGAGTACAGAGAAATGCAAAAGTCACATTCGTGTGCATTTCTCGCCGTGTTTTAGCCATGAGAGAATGATTTACTGATACTATTATCGCGCATCCGTTAGTATGGATAAGATGGTTCAAATGTATCGCATGTATTATATAGCGTAATTCAACTGTTTATACGAAAACATCAACGTCTATTTTCCTTTTTTTTTTTTTTTAACATTTTAAGAGTCAAGATTAATTTTTAGCATTTTCTTATTGTAATTAATTAATTTATTATTAAAAATATAATTTCATTATTCGAGTAAAATATTGCATTTTGTAGATTGTTCATTGTACATTGTATACAGCATCTTACTGCGGCCATATTGAAACAGTAATGCACGTAAAGATAGTATACAATATAATATTATAGAGATACTTGAGAGCGAGTTTTTTTTTTAATGAACAAAACTTTAATATTTTTGATTAACCGTTTGAATGCAGTTCGAAAGCAGTTGCAAAAATACAAGAAGTGTTGCATTGTTGAAGTATTGCCAAGCAGCCGCAATACGCTTCTTTTATTTATACTGAAAGATGTTAGCAAGTGCTATTGTGTTTCATTTTTTATTCATTCATTATTCATATATAATGTTAGAAACTGATTTTTATGAAAACAGTTTGTACAATTTAGTTGTAATAATTTTATTTTACATTTTTTATAAAAATTAACTAATTTCTTGAGAATTAATGAGCCTATTGAAATAACCGCTAATACTTTTTAAAACAGAAGAAGCGGAAAGTATTAAATATTAACGAGTATTATGTAATTTTAAAGTTAAATATTTTATAGGATATTTAATGCGAGCGTGTAAAATGATATATATTGTCATTGCAAAAGATTCAACATTATTAAGGAAGAAATTATTTTATCAGATTTTATCAAATTATAAAGTGCTTTTAAACGTTATTAAAAAAATGTAAATACATTATTCTTTTAAAAATTCTATCGTCGTACTTTTATTGCTAAATACGTTAGGAATGCATTTCGACTGTTTTGCCCGAAAAGGATATGCAGTTTCGGATTATCGCGTCGAGACGAGTTTCTCTTGTGCAGAGCAAGTAAATGAAAATACAATTTGCATGTTTTCGTCTGTGTGTTACCGTCCTCTGGAAAACGGAGGACGGAGCGCGTAGCTGTAAACTCGCAGTCACGTATGGCACATAACTTTTTTCTAGAACGATGAAAGATATTATCGGTGTGCGAAGTACTTTCCTTTTCAATTTTTAACGCGGATACGAATGCGCATATTTTACGCGAATTTTCGTCGCACTCGGACCTGCTGAAATTAAAGCATGCTGAACGCGATGGCGATGCAACAGGGCACACGGTAGCACGCGATGCGCGTTGTTATTTTATGTATACGGATAACATCCCAGGCCGTAATAAATTTCGTCCTGAGAGCCACAAATCTTGAGGAACACACACACGCTCTTGTTGCCTTCCTTTCCGCTAGTCCGTCGAGTACACGAAGCTTTGTAACGCGATGGCCTTTGTCTTATCAATAATAATACGCCCGAAGTCAGACAGGTGCAAACGTTTGTTTTTTTCTACGCTATAAACTAAAAAAATATTACTTTAAAAGAAAGATGTTTCTCCGAATAAAATTATTCGCAGCAAAATTTCTTGAATTGGCAATTTAAAGAGTGAAAAAAAAAAATTCAATTAATTTTATATGGGTGGATTTAAATCTGAAATGCATTTGCATTTGTGATATTGATATTCATATCGCGGATAATCTGATATATTTAAACAACGAGATGTTAACTTAATTATGTCTACTTGCTGTTACAGTTACCGAGATCACGCCGGATGTGATCGGTTCGCTTTACATCTCGGCTGGCTTGAGAAATCGGCCGTGTTTACGATTCGTCGACCCACAGCACGGTTTCTCGATTCAGCTGGTGCTCTATAAATCCAGGGATACGTGTCTATGTATCGGACGGATCTTTAGCGCCGCGTATCATGCATGTGCACTTATGTACAACCTTTATCCTGGATTAACTACACCGTGCTCAGCTTGGTTTCGATCCGCTGCATACGTGTACTTTATCGGGCCAACGGTTTCCCTATCCGCAAAAAAGATACACCGTCGTGCACCGTGTAGCGATCAAATAAAACCGACGATAGCACCCCCGAAAAAAAAGCAATATCGATAATTAGACGCTTACCGCAGCCAGTGATATTTTACAGCAGCAAAGTTCCTGTCGGTTGATGACGTTATTAGCGAACTCTTCCTCTTTGCATCTTCATGCATTTTCATCGTTAGCATTTGCATTTGACCGAGATAATTGCGCCGCTCTTAATTTATGAATAATACGCGTGTAAGTATAATCAATGCCTGTTTTGAAGGCGGCAACGAGAATTTAGTGCTCTCACGAACATGCGAGTTAGCTGGCTCTGCTAGAGATCGGTCCCTAATAAAGATTGTTCCTGATGGCTATTTTAATTCTTTCACGGTTAGATTAAATGATCCGCGCGTGTGCTCCTAAAGAGCAAAGCGTAGGCGCGCGCGTTTAACACGCATAGCCGAAAAAAACGGAAACAATTCCGTAGCTCGCGTCGCGTCCATCGCAGTCCACTTTTTTTTTCGAGTGTGCTTTCACGAGTGCGCATTGTTGCGTTGTTAATATCAGGCGACCAGCTGGTGGAAAAGCGCAATTTTTGTTCGGCGGGTAGCCGCGTTTAATGGAAACGGTGCTGAATTTTTTTCGCTGAACCTTTAACGACAAACAATTGCACCGTCACCTGTCAAACACATGCTACGCACCACTAGTGCGAACAGTTGAATCGATATAACATAAGAGTTATATTGTATTAACGAAAGGAATTGCCGCACCATATTGTCCCATTAAAGTTTCGATAATTTTATAAATGCGAATATGAATATCAATGTTGCATTTTACTTCTCTTATATTTTTTGAATATTTAGATTTTAGATTAAATTTGACTGTGCTAAATAATTAATTTTTTTATTAATTTAGCTAATTAAACAAATTATTGTTTAATTTATCAAGCTTAGTAACTTAACATAATTTAATTTTTGACGATGAAAGACCAGGCTATGGAATTTTTTTGCTAATTATTTTGATTACAGAAGACTTTATATAAGCCAGCTTAAATGAAAGAATGCTCAGTAATGAGCAACATGTTTTATGAAAACATTCTATAGATAATAACGTTGTTTTGCTTTCGGTTGGTAATGCATATAGATGACAGCGCGCATGGTCCGAAGGACACTTTGATAAAAATGACTTCGTAACCGATGCCTCACTCGGAATAGATTGTGAAATGCAAACTCGGCCGTAAAAGAATTCCGATCGAGCGAATGCATCTACCTACGTATCGACCAAATCGCTGGCCGGCTACCGAAGTGGATTAGAACTGTCGGGTTGAAATCGAAGCTGTCACTGCACACGTACCATACAAAGCTATCGATGCATTTTTATTCAAAATCGACGGTAATCCTGTCGCTGTATGCATATTGATTATCGTTCCCTGAATGAAATGGCGCAAGCAGCACGATCAATCTCTTTTCCTATCACGCAACCGAGGCTGGAATCTATAAAAAAGCTAATATATCAATAACCTATCGCATTTGCTCTTATGCAATAACGTTAACGCGCCTGGCTGGGTCTCGTAAAGCTAAAAGCCGTGAATAAAAATTTCTAAGTAAAGAAAAAGACCATGACGTTGAAGAAGTTAATCAGCTTCCCGAACAAAAATGCGCGAGTTTAATATACTATAGAAGATTCGCACGTGTCGAGAAAGATCGATTCTCCGGGAGATTTTTTTTCGAACTAGATTTCAAGAAAGTCGAACGCATGAGCGCGATGAATAATGAAAAATAACGCGACGTCGTCGTCGTCTCGGGCGACTCGAGGGCGACTTGCAGTTCTGACGTAATGCACGCTTGAGACTTTTGCGTGTGTGTCCGGCGATAATTATTCACGGTGGTTTATCATCGGTAGCCGATCACGTTGCCGGTGTATGATCTCCCGGCGGATATGGCGGCCGGCGCGGTTGCGTGATTATATCGCACGGTGCAATTCGCGTACAGAGAGGAAGAATTCCGGTCGAGCGCGCACTAAGGGACTCCGGTGCTCGATGCTGCTCTCTAGGGTACGCCCGAGTAAATCAGGTACTGTCAGGATGGATGTGGGATGGATATGACGGTGCCGAGCACGGAGCGAAATGATTGGCGTACCGGCCCGCGGGGGAGCAATCGTAACCGCGGTAATGGATCATCGATTTTTCCGTGACCTCCGGGGTAAACGGTCTCGACGGGGGTGGCTCTGAAATTACGATTTTCCAGCGTGCGACGGCGTGGCGGCGTCTTGACTGCCCGCCGCCGTCTCTGAGGGCGTGCGCGCGCGATTCACCAAACGGGCCAGCAAATAAATTAGTCAAAGCGGGGATTTAAAGCGTTCTCGGTTTCCATTAGACAAATCTAGTTTCTACCTCTCTTTCTCTCCCGCACGGCATTAGAACGCCTGTCCGACCTCCTCGGTGCTGCCATTTATTTCGTAGGAAAGCCAGCCGAAAGAAGCTAATTTCGAGCCGCGTGGGTCTCGCGGAAAACGCGGATGTCTCCGCATTACGCGCGTCGTCGGGTATCTATTGTTATTGAGCATATAAGTGGTTTTTTCAAGCCACAAACAAATACGTTTCACCAACGATTACATTAAAAAGATTTTAATCCGCTATTGCGGCAAAATTATTGATGCTGTATGTTCGATATGAAAGCGATATTTCACAATCAATTCTTTGATATTCTAACAAAATTTGTTTTATCAAAATATTTCAGTAATAATAAGTAACTTCATAAAAACATAAATTTGCTTCTACAGCAAAATAGTATATCCTTATGAAATGTATTTTGCTGTTGAGCAATGTGCCAAATAATTTTTCAGCAAATATATTTGTCAACAAAATAATTCGTAGATTCAACAAAATTATTTTTAGCAATTAATATTTTTAACAAATTTTTATACTGCGCATATGATAATTAACGGCATTTATTGTGATAGCATAAAATGTGTAGTGGCAACAAACTTTATTTCCCTGCTTATGCTCGTTTGTGATAAAAGTTTCAGATAAAATAGAGTTTTGAATCTTTGAGTATTCTCGTGAATAAATATTGCTAAAAATACCTGTCGGTCTCCTGGTTTGTCGAGTTAGTTAAATCGGTATCGCTCTACTTAAATATTATGAAAATATGTATGGTAATAGCTACCGTTATATTAACATTGGGAAATTGGAAATTCTAAATTGTGTAAAATCATAAGCATATACATACATAAGCATGTACGTATTTGGTTTTACAATAACAACGCTGTTGTTTAATGCAACTGCATAAAATGAGCTTGATAGTTCATATGTGCGTGTGCGATTATAAATATAACGTTCAAACGTATGTTAAAAATTTATTTACATGCATAAATTATCTAGCTCGTGTATAAAATTCTCTCTATTAATTGACTTTTGCCTTCAAGTTACTTTGAATTAAAATTTGTTGTTTGAAAGACAAATAAAAATAAAATACAAGAAAAAGAGCTAAATTAATAATTATTTTAGTTGATATATTTTGTTAATACATTCGTGATTGATATTATAAAGATTTTATTTCCAATCTCTTCGGGTGAGTAAAATATATTAAAATTTCTATCGATTTTCTAACATAATTTAATTAACTTTAACGTTTACTGACAGTAATTTGATTGCTATTTTATAATGCAATGCGTCATTTGCCATATTACGTGTATTAATATATATATATGTTGTCTCCATAAGCAAGAAAATTATCTAATAAATTTAATTTTAATTTAATTTTAGTATACGAAAATAATTAAGTGTTGAAAAACTTTATTGTATAAATATTTTAACTTTCTCGGATTAATTCCCATGTTTACTGCACAAGAGTACAACCTGTAAATAATTAATCGTACTATTCGTGGCTGACAAGGTCGCGCAATTACATTGGACTTTTCGCGTGCAATCAGTATCTATTTTAGCTTCGTGCCCGTGCACTCTCGGACGCTATTAGATGCGCGCATTGCTCTCCGTTACAGCACGT